TAACTCCTCCTTTTCGCTTTTTTTCATGGTTTAAATGTGGAAGCCTTGAGACTTTCAGATTTTCAATTATCACGAAAAAAACTCATCTGTTTTAAGAATTCACGAACAGCACATAGACGACTTTATCATCCAAGCATGGCAGTTTATGCTCACAAAGCAATGGAATTAGAATCTATGCCTATTTTTTAGACAAAAAACTGAAATCTGCCACTATTCAAGGCTAAACTTATTTGGTCAAATTAGTCAAAAATTCTCTTTTCAGACGCTTGTCGGACGCCAAATAGCGTTTATATCATTGGTCAACTATGTCTCTCACAGCTTGTAAAATCTTTTACAATCTATCAGTGCTGCACATCTCATTTTCCAAAGAGTTTTCTATCGTTGTAAGTCGAAACCATCCCCATGTAAGGGCGATCGATATATGGGCACGCCGATATCGTAAATCTCATTAGCCAAGTTCCCATCCTCAAAATTTGATTCATCGAAAGCCTGACGCGAAAAATACTGATTGACTGAAAACTCTGCCCAAAAAACCTTGATGGGCAAAAAAAGTCTCGACTTGAAATACGTGATTGGCTGAAACATGAGCCCAAAAAACCTAATTAGCCGAAACGCAGGCCCAAAAACACCTGTCTGACCAAAACGTGGGCCGAAAAAAACCTGATTGGCTGGAACTGGGGCCCAAAGATACCTGATTCGTTGGAATTCACGGCCCAAAAAAAGCTGATTGCCCGACACGCGGGTCCAAAAAGCCTGATTGGCTGGAATCTGGGACCCGCAGAAACGCGGACCAAAAAAACTGATTGCCTGGGATCCGGACCCAGAAACACCGGATTGGCAGAAAAGCTGGCCGAAAAAACCTGATTGCCTGGCATCTGGGGACCAAAAACAACTGATTGCTTGGAACGCCGGTCCAAAAAAATCTGATTGGCTGGAATCCGGGGCCCAAAAAAACCTGATTGGCTGGGATCTTCGGCCCTAAAAAATCTGGTTGGTCGAAACCATGACCCGAAGATACCTCATTGGTCAAAATTCTCTCCTAAAAAACCTGATTGGTAGACAGTGTGATATCGGAAATCCATGTTTGCATTAATAATTTTATGTAACACTTGCACTTTGGCCTTTGAGCGGGTCACAAGAATACATACATACAAACGCATTTTAATTTTTTTCATATGACCCGCCCTACAGTCGAGGGAATAAGAAAGTTGGTTTCTGATTGGCCGGCTCCCGACCAATGAAACCTCGGCCAAAGAAATATGCTTCGGATTCGGATTCAGAGCCCTCGATAGCCTATACCAAAGTTTCATCAAAACGGCGAAAAGCCTTAAGAGTCAGTCCATGTAAGCCAAGACCGAAGTTGCTCAATCGATATCATCAGAACTTGCTCAATTTAAGATATGTTTTAGACGGAAGAGTTATATGATTTTGGACGCAAACCGGTTCAAAAAAATATTGAACCCTTGATTTTTTATGAGCATTTTACGAAAAGGCCTAAAAATGACCATATATATAAATGGGGGTCCTAATGCAACAATATCTCATGAATGGTTCAACCAAATGAGCTGAAATTTTTCATTACCACATATCTCAATGAATTCTATTTACCATAAAATTTTCATTTTAAAATGTTGAGCCATTGGAATTTTATCAAGCACTCAATGTATGAAAAAAGGTCCATTTTCGGTAACTTGGGCGCTTCATAACTTTTGATAGGAATAACATATAGGTCTGAAATTTCCACTATTGATAGGACACTGAGAGATGTATCTCTTCAGGAAATTTCAGCTACCCATACCGTTCCATTTGCTCAGGGCAACCCCGCGAAAAACGCAATTTTGATAAATGTGAGGACTTTCAGGACAGGCTTTCTCCCAAGATATGGATTGTCTGGGACGTTGATTGTTGGAACTTGGAAGTACTCTCTTTGAGCTACAATTCTCTAAAAAAATTAGCCTGGGATCTCCAAGAACGGCTCCAGGGTACTCAGTGCAAAATACGAAAAAATGAGCTTTTTTCTATGAGAAATGTACCCAAGTGCACTTCGAAATTCCTCCAAGGAATGGTGTATGTCATATAAATTTTATATAGTAAAAATCAGCATTAAATTCTCTGTTACCCTGTATCGAAATATCCTTTGAAAATGAAAAAGAAAGCTTTTACCAAAAATCCCCCTACCCCCCTCCAGGCCTCTTTCTGCAACATTTTCTTCTCACAACCCCCGTACCCCCCTAGGACGATTTTTCGTAGAAATTTTTTTTTCATTTTCAAAGGATATTTCGATACAGGCTAATAGAGAATTAGATGCTGATTTTTACTATATAAAATTTATATGACATACACCATTCCTTGGAGGAATTTCGAAGTGCACTTGGGTACATTTCTCATAGAAAAAGGCTCATTTTTTCGTATTTTGCACTGAGCGCCCTGGAGCCGTTCTTGGAGATCTCAGGCTAATTTTTTTAGAGAATTGTAGCTCAAAGAGAGTACTTCCAAGTTCTAACAATCAACGTCCCAGACAATCCATATATTGGGAGAAAGCCTATCCTGAAAGTCCCCACATTTATCAAAATTCCGTTTTTCGAGGGACTGCCCTGAGCAAATGGAACGGTATAGATAGCTGAAACTTTCAGGAGAGATACATCTTTTAGTGTCCTATTAACAGTAAAATTTTCAGACTTATATGTTATTCCTATCAAAAGTTATGAAGTGCCAAAGTTACCATCTCAAGTCCAATTTTTTGAAAAAAAATTTTTTTCAACAAAATTTTGGGTGTTTTCGAAAAAATTTATTTTTTCTCAAAAAGTTTGTTTCTGCATTAAAAAAAATTTTGGGTGTTTTCGAAAAAATTTATTTTTCTCAAAAAGTCTGTTTCTGCATTAAAAAAAAATTTTCAAAAAAATGTTTTTTTGACCTTTGACCCGGCCACAAGAATACATACATACAAACGCATTTTGATTTTTTCATGTAATTTTTTTCATATGACCCTCTTACAGTCGAGGGAATTATATCGCATCTTGGAGATGAAAATTAAAAAATAGACAAGGTAGAGGTGGAGAATGGGTTGCAAAAAGAGATATTTGGAAATGATGATTGTCTCAGATCGAAAGAAGAGATAAACCTACTAAAATCAAAGTGTAAGCTATAATATTATCAGACGAATTCAATGAAAATTACCCTTTATTCAGAAATCGTTTAAGATATGAGCAAGGATCAGTTTATACAGATATGATTTCGAGATTTTATTATGATATTGCATATGTAAATTGCAAATATTACCGTGGAGGTATAGTTAAAGATAATTTTCTTTCAGTAAAGAGGTACATAGAAAAATTCATTAATTAATTTGATCGTGAGCATCAAATAACTGATGAAATAAACGTCGTAAAATTATCAAGGTACTTTTTATATTCAATTTGCGATCTTTATTCGATTTTAAAGAATGAAGCAGAGAAATTTCGTTCTATTCCATAAGGATGTGGGCGTGAGTGTGGATATGGATGTAGGTGTGGATGTTGCCATTACTTTTAACTATATCAATCTCCTTCCATCATATCACATTCACAGTCATACACACAGCCATCGAAACAAACTGTCATTAATCCATATTGACACACCCATACGCGCACACTCACACTGCACAGCCGAGGTCTTCGAGAGTCCATAGAGCTCTTAGACTTCTTAGAATTCCAAGAGTTCCTATGTTTCTTAGAGTTCTACGAGTTCCGCATGAGTTCTGAACTCATAGAATTCGGTCATGTCTCTAGTTTCTGCAGGGTTGCTGATATGGCTTTTGCCTTTCCTCCTTTTTCATCCATCTGACTGATGTCACTATTTATTCTTTGCAACAAGCGACACAGATATAACTACTTTTTTACCTACTATAGCCAGTTGTTGTCTGATAGAGGTATCTGATGGCAAGCACGGTATCATCACCACTTGTTGTCGTTGTATCCGGTGGTGGACCAGTTGGACTGACCTTTTCACTTAATCTTACCATGATGATGGGTAAACATGCCAAAATTATTATTTATGAAGGTCGGTGGTTTGTTGATGAACATGGCGTCACTCGTTGTCAAGGTGAAGAAGAAGGCAATACTCGTCGTGATCAAGTCGTTACTTTACAAGATCATGTTATTAATCAAATGCCTTCTTTTATTCAAGAAGGTCTTTTTCAAAATATAAATGAGCGTGTATGGCCAACATCAAGAAATATTCCAATAAGAGAAGTTGAAGATCGACTTTTCGATTTAATTCAACCATTTGTTCAAAATGGCCAAGTTGAATTAATTCCTGAACAATTAAATGAACAATCTAATCATTTGATCGAAGGTAAATAGACGTTGTTTTTTTCTTATTATTTTAAAAATGTATTCAATTGAGAATTTGTATAGGCAATTTTGATGTATTAGTGGGTGCTGACGGATCGAATTCATTTGTTCGCCGCTATTGTAATATTAAAATGATAAGTGAAGGTATCGAATATGCATGTGGTGTAGCATATGATATACCACAAGATGTGATATTATCACATGAACCTCTTCATCAAGCACTTAATTGCATATTAACGATTTCGCAAACACGTTATCTAGTGAACTCGTCAACGAGTCGTCGAGGTTATCTTAATATTCGTTTAATTCACAATGAATATGAAGAATTATCTGAATGTTTACAAAAATTTCAAAAGTATAATGAATCATTAGATTTATTAGATTATAATAAATATCCACAATCACCTGTATGGTCAATTGTTCGACAAGGATTGGAGTTTTTTAAAATACCTGCAGAATATGTTTTTCGTGTTGTACCAATTAAGATTGATGTTCGACATGCGTCGATTGTTGTTCGAGAACTTCGTTTTGAAATTAACAAAACACAACAAAGAACATCATCATCGAATGATTCAACATCGACAATAGAGAATGCAAGTGGTAGTGAGAAAAAACAATTTAAGACAATGCTAGCATGTCTTGTTGGTGATGCAGCAATGAATGTGCATTTCTGGCCTGGTCGAGGTATGAATAGTGGAATGAAAGCAGCTATGGCACTTGCTCGAAATATTCTTCGTTCATGTACATCCAAAATATCACCTCATTCGATCGAAGTTCGTATTCCACTTCGATTTCTCGATTTTCTCGACTATGAAGGTTTCATGGCTCGTCTTCGAGCACGTGAACAACAAGGTCGTTCATTACGTGTTCTTGTGGATCCGATCGATGCGAGTGTTGAAGAAGCTTATACCTATGCTCATTTGATTCCTTGTTATAACACATATAAAAGGAAGTTAAATGAAAAGTTGAAAGAGACACGACAACGTCTTGAGGAACGTTTCGATTGGCCTCATCAAACAACACTGGTGACTGATGAAGAATTACAATATGCATGTAATAGAATTTCTCTTCATGCTGTCGCTCAACTGTCATTAGCTAATCCATGGCCAACACGAGAGATGAGTGGTATTGAAGTCCTTGTCGAAGATACTTTTCCATTCAAACAAGAACAATTTTTATCTGTACCAACGATAGGCGAAGCTACTTCAGTCCATGCACCAAGCAGTATCGTCCGTCAACGCTTTCTCATTTTATGGATCGTCGGTGATACGATGAGTGGAAATACAAAGAATATTATTGATTCAATTCGAAGTTCTCCTAATTTCGTCGATCCATCAACAACAACAGTAGCAAAGACAACAAATCAGCTACTAAATTCATCCATGGAAGGTTTTCATAAGTTACATGTAGTTCATACTATCAAAGAAGCTCAAAATTGGATAAACGACAATTGTGAAAGTTTACGACAACAGGATATTCTCTTCAAAGTTATTACTACATGGTCACTGAACAAAGAAAAAACGGCAATAGATGTAATTCGAGCAGTTCGTGCTGATGGATCACGTGTTCCCGTATTAATTTATACAAATGAACATGAAGAAATACAGTCGGCACTTGAATTTCCAAATGTTATTGCTACGGATATGAAATTTGAATTGTATGAATTTGTCGGAATTAATCAAGAGACACAGTGGGATCCAGGCTGCCCTGTATCACCCAGCAATAACTCAACAAATATTTCAGGTATGTGTCTAATCGAGACAGTAAGAAAACACCGAAAAGGAAAAATATCGAAAAGAAAAAATGTCAAAAAGGAAAATATCGAATATAAAAGATCTCTCTACCAAAGAAATAAATGAAGAGATATTTTATTCAAGTATTTCGAGAAAGAGACAAGAAAATCATAAGAACATATAATAATTATCATTTTATTCACTATTCTTTTTCGATGAGTAATGATAATCCAGCCGGTAGTCGTTTTGTATTGATTTCATTATTTCGAAATCTGCTACTCAGTGTATCAAAATGTTCTTGAAATGCTATTGTATTAGTTGATTGTTTATGTGGTTATGCTCCGACGTTAAGTTGAATAGAGATGTGTGTGATGGAAATCTCGGTAGGCTCCTTCATCCCTATGATGATGATACTTTATATTCCAATCAATGTCCTCTTTCTTCACTTTTATAAACGCTAATACATCGGTCACATAGAGAGAGAAGCGTAGAAGTAATTAGCGATGCTAGGAAGAGAGAAAGAGAATATATAGCAGTTATTATATAGATGAGGAAGAGAGAGGGTGTGAGTGTGGGTGTACGTGGATATGGCTATCAGGACAAAGGAATCATCAGAACCCACACGCACATTCACATCTACACCCACACGCTTTTTGGCGATGGCTTTTCTCAGGGTTCAATTTGATTTCTGAAAATTTAGGCTTAGGGCAAAATAGACTAACCATAGATGTATTCATTCCAATGTTTAAACTTAGGAAAATAGGACTTGAGCTCATGTTCGCCTGGTTGCCCACTGTGCACTCCACACCCACCCACACCCTGAGAACGTTTATAAATCCTTATTTGATTACCAAACTTTCTGTCGTTAAGAACACAAGAGTCTCTCTGGTTCTATCTATTTATTTCTGTAGATGTGATCGATCTATTGACCAAACTAAAAAAAACAGCCGCAGAGAAAAATTTGCGTGCTTATATGCTTGATAAAGAATGGGACGATCAAAAACAACTGGACGAAAGATTCATGTTCTGATATGAGACACTTTAGATCGTTTTTTCGATAAAGAAATTTCGAATAGAATTTTCTATTGAAAAACTGTTTTGCTCAGAATAGATGCATGAAAGTGATTCATTAACGTTTTAGCTATCAGTGAAAATTTATTACGAAAAAGGAAAGATATATTACGAAATGATGTTTATGTTGGTCTATTCCATTTGCATTCAGAATTTCGATTTAACCTAGAATGTTCAACAGTTTCATTTGATAGTTTTCTCTTTCTTACAAAACATACATGAGAAACAAAGGATTGCAATGGTTCGAAGCCAATCCTACTAAAAAGTTGCAATTCACTCATATATCAGTTTCAATTTTATTATACTTGCTTTTGTTCTGACAACGTAAAATTTCCCTAATTTCTAAAGGGTAGAATTTCAATGAAATATCGAAAAATTAGGGTTTGATGTTCAAATCAGGAATGAAACAGTGATCTTCGATATGTACGAGTAAACGTGAAACGAGGGCTTAGTGAATTCTCTTGATCATTCACCTAATCGTCTTCATCAAATCTTTAATGCATCCACGTCACTCTTATCTCTTATCTCTTAGCTGATAAGATATCGGAAATCAAAGAAAACGCATTCAACTCATTAATATATATTCTCGTCAATATATAGGGTGTCCCATTACTTCTGGCTCGAGTCAAATAACAACTTTTTCTTCTTTTGAAATATCTCATTGAACAGGTGCCTATAAAAAGAAAATGTGCAGGAAAAACATACGTAAAACATTTCTTTCTCTAAACAATCCTTGGTCACCACACACATTACAATCAATCTTCAACAAGAAGATTTCTCTTTAGATCGATTGCCTTGTTGAGAAGTCTAGAGCCAGATTTTGAAATATTTTTCTTTGTATTTTTTGTTACATAAGTTTTCATCTATTTCCAATTGATCATGTACTTCTCCGTTCGGTATCTGTGTCGTCTAGTTCTATCCTTTCTTCTAAAAGAAGTCATAAATGAGGGTGTGCGTGAAGGCTAGATCCTGCCTGATACAAATACAAACTCTCACTCCTACATTCTACAAAGACACCCGCACTCCTCTCTTGAACATCCTAACTTTCCAGAAAGAAAGGAAGCATTTGATTGAAAAGTGAAAACTGTATTTCAGAAATAAATGCTTACAAATCTCAATGATTTTTAGTCGGAATATTCTAATATTGGATACTAAAAGCAAACTCTAAAGCTTCAAACTTTGTTTTTACTTAAGAAACCTATCTCTGCCGAAGTTGAAAGGATTTCCTTCTTTTATATCCTAATTTTCCAGAATAAAAGTATACTATAAACATAAAAACGAAAATGTATTAAGTCACACTAATGTTATGCAAAAGTTTGTTAAGTGATCATGAATCTAATAAGAAAATATTAATAGTCATATATACAGGGTGGCCCAAAAGTCACGCACCCGAAAAGAAATTGAATATATCCATAACGGCTCTAGCAAACTGGCTGATTTTTTTACCACTAGTAAACGCATATTTACACTCCATATCCATAAAGACAAGGCGAGAGTGAACCCTTTTTTTAAGTGTCACTATTGACTTTAATCAAAAAATTTTATTTTTTCACAGATGGAAAAAAACGATGTAATGGGTGGCGTAAAAGTTACTTTACCGAAAAAAAGTTGAATATCTCCATTACGGCTCGAGCAAACTGGCTGATTTTTTTATCAATGCTAGAGGTATGTTCAAGATTTATATCCATAAAGACATGCCTAGAGAGATCCTTTGCTAAGTATGTTGTTTTTTTTCATCTGTAAAAACAAGTAAAATTTTTTTGTTGCGATTAATAGTGATACTTAACAAAGGACTTCTCTAGGCATGTCTTTCTGGATATAAAGCTTGAATATGCCTCTAGCATTGATAAAAAAATCAGCTAGTTTGCTCTAGCTATAATAGAGATATTCAATTTTTTTTCGGGTGCGTGACCTTTGGACCACGCTATATATATATATATTTATTTATTTATTTATTTATTTGTAAACAACTTATTGTAAAAAATATAATAAATGAATAATTCAACAACAAATATACATATTTACAAACACTTATTTGTTTTCATATCATAAACGAAAAAGTACGTGAGATGAGACCAGGTCGTTTATAAATATCGCATAATTTATAACTATTTTAACTTTTTGGCGATTTCTATCAATTTTTACTTTTCAAAAACTAATTCGAACTCTTCAACGGTTTCGATAGAAGAATTTTATTAGTGAAATTTGAAATGACTTGTATACTTCAAAATAGACGCATTTCAACTCATGCGCTAAAATTTACATCAAGTTGTGTTCATTGAAACCGATGTAAAATTAAATGAATTTCATATGCGAAATCTTTCCCATTTCAAGTATCAGGATTGATTTCTGTAAGGAATAAAAATTATTGTTTTTGAAAGAACAATTGAATATCAGTGGTCAAGGACAGTCTTAAACTTTGAACTTTTGCAAACTGTAAGACAAACTACCTTGATATTCATCTACTTTTAGTACCATTGAGAGTTTCTCAACCATTAATTGATATCAGCGTTCTTCTTGGTCAAAGCGGTACATTATCATTTACTTGTCACGAATTCTCATCACCGACAGTAACATGGTAAGTGACCTGATTGAATTCTAATATCAGTATTTTGCTACTTACTTCTTCCAATCAGGTTTTTCAGTGATATCGAACTGACAAACTCTGCCAAACACAAGATGGAATCCAAACAAAATATTTTTACACTCACCGTCAACAAATGCGATCTTTCTGATGCCGGTACATATCATGCTCAAATTCAAAATGGCATCAATCAGATTAGACAAACAGCCAAACTTAATATTCGAAGTTAGTAGTCTCATCATCTTCTATGCACAATACGAATGATTTTTTATTTATTTTTTAGTTCAACCTAAAGTGGAAGCTCCCAAATCAATAAACGATCAGTCATGTGTCTTCGGCCAAGATACTCAAATCTCATGGAAATTCAGCGGCATCGAGAAACCACAAGTGACATGGTTTCTCAATAGTCAACCTCTTCCAACCAACGATCGCTTTCAATTGACTGAAACTGATGATGGAACATCGATACTAGTGATTCGTCAAGCTGAACTCGCCGATCAAGGTGTCTACACTGCTAAAGCAACCAATTCTGTTGGTGAAGCTGAAGCCAAAACTACTTTGTTCATCATTTGTATTAAACCCGTTATCGAATTTGATCTTGGTGCTCCTCTGCAAGCCATAAAAGGAGAAGCCATGACACTTAAAATCGCTGCAAGTGGAGCACCGAAGCCCGACATTATTTGGATGAGAGGTAACGATGAACTCACACCTAATGATCGGACTCAAATGACAACATCGACTCTAGATGATGAATTATACACACTGACTATCCTAAACGTACAACCAGGAGACCAAGGAGAATATTCAGCCAAGATTTCCAATGTTGGTGGATCACTTCAATCCAATAAGTGCAAAGTCACTGTTTCGAGTGCGTCACCTTGACTTTTCTTGTTCTTTGACACATATGTCATTGTAGAATCGCCAGTATTTGTTGTTACACCATCAACGCAAAAAGTAAAACAAGGTGAAACAGCATTGTTTAAGACACAGATCGATGGATATCCGACCCCAAAGATCAGTTGGCTTCTCAATGACAAACAGGTGACAGCGAAAGAAGGTGTTCAAGCGCAGTTCGATGCTACGACTGGACAAGCGAAGTTGTCTATTCCGAACGTCGATCTACAACAACATGTAGGTTCAGTTACTTGTCGTGTCGAGAATTTGTATGGCTATCAACAAGAAACTGTCCAACTCGCTGTTCTTGCTGCACCAATAATCACTACACAGTTACCCAAAGAACAAGAAACTGTGAGCGGAGAAGATGTCACATTGAAAGTGGTCGCGCGAGGATCACCACCACCATCCGCTCAATGGTTCTTCAAAGATAGGCCCATTGAGCCGAAGAATACATCGATAGACGAGACGAAGAATGGATATCAGTTGTTGATCAAACACACAACAGTGGCACAGAGTGAAGGAATCTATCAAGTCGCGTTGACGAATGAAGTTGGTGAAGTACAGTCGACTCCATGTGTACTTACAGTACTGGAGCCAGTGAAACTGGCAAAAGTGAGACCAACATCGGATGTAGTCGGCTTGAAAATTGGCGAAGCATTCGAGATCACTGTGGATGTAAGTGGCAAGGAAACGCCGGAAGTCCATCTGACGAAAGATGGAGAAACAGTGCAGTTTACAAGTGTGGAAAAAATGCGATACACATTCTCAGTGCCTAGTGTAAAGCTAGAACACGAAGGCGTGTATACAGTAATAGGAAAGAATAAAACGTCAACTGAATGGATAGCTGTCAGCCTTAATGTTACTGGTGAGTTTACCTGCATTTTAAAAACTAAATTTTTCATCATACCCATTCTGTATATTCTCGTGAAAAATTTCAGTTGCAGTGTACAGCCGAGCGAAACTCTGCAAATGCTTTCTCTCTCATTCATATTCACACGTAGTACATTCTTCTTAAAATTTATCATTGATGAGCTGTATTCGGTTAGCATAACTAATACAACAATATTTAAAAGATTCGTTCAAATATGATGCAATTTAATAATGCGTCTTTTAATTATTGTGAAAAGTTCAAATTCTCTCTGACAATCGGAGGTTTTGTACTATTAGTAAAGAATATTAGACATATTGGGGTCACATGGAAGTTCTCACTGCTAAACTAATAAATTTAGAATATGAGCTGCCAATGGCATAAACTGATTGAGATAATGGACTTTTTAAGTAATTGCAGTATGTGTCAGATTTTCACCAGTCAAACTTTTAACATTGTTTATTTTTCCTTTTTTTTTCGTAGTGGCTGGATCAGTTGTGGGTGTGAATTTGATAGATCTTCTCTCCATCCACGCCCATATTCACTTTCACACTACAAAAAAGCATGTATTTCAATGACATACGGAACATATGAACTGAAGTTTTATTGTTAAAGTAAAAATGTTAAAGTGTCCTACATACGAGCAGAGTATTCAGAAGTACTACCAATTACAATGCTTTTACTCTCAAGATGAAAAATTTGCAGAAATACTATTAATTTTTAGTTTTTCTGTTATTGAAAAGGAATGATCGCTTAGACATTGGTAAGTGTCAACCTCTTGTTTCACATGACACTATCACAAAAATTAGAAGAACTTTTCATAATTTCTAAACTGATACTTTTCATTACGTATCCAAAGAAAGGCTTAGTAGAAAAAGCTTTTGTTCTTCTGCTTCAAATTTCTTGCCCATCTCTCGTTTCCTTGGAAATGAAGGAAAGAGAGTTTCGTTGAGAGGTGCATATCAGAGCCAATGTCAATCATCGTCTTTATAGATTTATCTAGTCTTTCATGCAAAGAGTTCGGACTGAATGTGGTATCTCATTAGAATAATTGGATTATGAGCGTCAAATACACCAATGCAGCTTTTCTCGACTTAGTTTGATTATTGAGAAACTTTTTTTTAAGTATCAATGATAAAACTGCATACATCTTTCAAAAATCCATTAGTATTTCGCAATCCTTTTTCATCATAAATAAATATTAAACCAAAATCAATAGTATAGTTGGAATCAGCACAAAAAACCGGCGTCGTATCTTAAACATATTAGCTAAATATTTTTTCATGAAACATGCACCTGTGAATATGCAGTTTCAGTTAGCTGACTATCGACATCATCGAATCAGTGTAATTAGTGAAGACTGACTGCACGAACACATTGATATTGGCATCAGTGTTCACTGAAACAGTGGAAGACACCACTACAAACGAGAGATATTTTGACATAGCTGATGATGCAATACAGCAGCAAATGCGCATATCAGTGGAATCAATCTTCCCGTCAACACTATGTCGGTAACTGATTGTCAGTATTTACACCAAAGCTACACATTGCTAAATGTACCTTGAGTGCATTGAAAGGAAAATTGAGGAAAAAACAATACTGAGAGGCTCTCATATACTTTTTTTTTTTGTTAAAGCATCTATGTATTAGAATGTAGTTTTTTCGTTAAGCCCAATTGTGTGATTGGATTTGCTCTGAAACTGAATGATGATAATTAAAAACGCTATGTACGTTCACAAGCTTCACAAGTTTGCCCAACTTTACTGCTGCCATCAGAAAAATTCCATTTTTCTACAGAATAAAACAAAATTTAAGAAAAGCTCAATAAGTATTTTTATAGATCGCGATTGAGCGATTCTAAGAAGATAAGACATTAGGCAACTTTTTTTCTCACAAAAGTGTAGATGGACTTAGATAGGTATCTACTTAGGACAATTCAAAAGTAGTATCGCTAATACTTTAATGGTGTGGATGAGGATGTGAGGGTGGGTGAGAGTAAAGAGAAAATCTAATACCTTCACACCAAACTCTCATACGCTCTACTACCCGCACTCTCATGTCTGTTGTTCACGCCTTCACTCTGAAAGAAGCAGCCATTTCATATGTTACAACCAGTGGCACCCGTCTCGACTTAGAGTAAGCCACTAAACAGTAAAAGCATATTGAATTTTATAGAAAGTGACACTAAAAGCCTATTAAGAAATACGTGATTGTTTTGAATTCCAGGTGCTTCGACAATGACTGGTGCTGGCATAACAGAAGCAAACAGAGCGACACACGTCAGTCAGGTTCAAGTAATTCAAATAATTTCTTAGTGTCATTTTTTTGTTCATACCTAACTTCTTTTGTTCATAGAACGATCGAGCTGCAGCAGCCGCCAGCGCCGTAAACACTGAATTCTTCTCCACCAACAAAAAGGTCAGACGATAACCATTGTAGGAAACGACTATTCATTAAATACCTCATTCTTTTTAGTCTGTCGTTGCGAAAATCAGTGCTGCAGCAGTTCAAGGTAGGTTACTGTTGATTATGTCTTTCAGCAAGATTAGTGATGATGACAGTTATGTGAATAAGATTGCCGTACTTTCTAAGGCGCACTATACTCACAGAAGAAATTCATAGATGATATGATCAATTTTTGAAGAACTTTTCTCGTTTGCCTATAGTTCGCGCATGTGGAGTAACACGGTCCTTTCGGATAAATTTCATAATTTATCTATTGACAGAAAGCGCATGTTCTTTATCAGAATAAGATTTACATCGTCTTTCCATTTCTATCATAATATCCCAGCAAAAGTATTTGAATATTTTTTAAATAAAAAGAACCCATAGATATTATTCTGTAAGGAAATTTAGTATTCTCACGTTAACTCGAATCAAGAGGTTAGCTAGTTTTATTGAATTTTCGCATCTTTTGCCAAATGGTTCTTGGAAATGACTTTTAAAAGTAACTAGAACTACTTGAACATCCTGATCTAATTGGACAACGAGTAACAATGTGAAACAAAATATGATTTTGCGATCATTCTATCGTCATTCAGTAACCAATTAGATTTTTGTTATCGTTCATTCATTGAAGGATACCACTGTGGGTATGTTTGTTTTCTCTTCGAACATCGACAGTACATATAAGAGTTGTTCGAAGAGGACGGCTAACATAATGTCCTTAATCCTCACTTTATTTAGAAATGTAGGTTTGACTTTTTGTCGAAAACAACTATCTTTTTCTAGAAGATTGACGCTGTGTTGTCTTCAACATTACATTATGGTCAACTTTTCTTAAAGCCATATAAACGGAACATGTGTTGTTGCTTATACCAACGTCTTGGATTTTTTAGAAGAAGAGACTAGAACATTTGAATCTAGAACTAGAAATCAATATACCTAAATTAGTGGATTACCTTAAATTTTGAGCATTTCGATAAAGCGAACATACATTCACATGTTACATATAAGTGTATATAGTTTTTTCTTGTTGGTTGGAACCAATCAGTTTTTTCATAAATTTAAAATAAGAAAATGAACAGAACTCGTTGCAAAAGCGTTTGATTCACTTTTTAAAGTTTGTTTCGCTATCATGCTACTTTCAGTTTCATAGGTTCTTTGATTGCTCGACGACACTTAAGTTCCTAAAGATCATGTTACTGGCATAGTTTGCAGGGTTCCATAACTTTCTTCATTTCTCTGAATTCGTTCAGATTTTTGTCTACTAACGATTTGTTGTGTTTCCTGATTTCCTTTGTCTCAATAAGTTCCTAGACTTCGTTGATATGCTTGGAATCTCTAGGTTTCTTCATTTCATTGAATTTTTGATAGTTCGTACAGTTTGTGGAGTTCTGAAAATTCTTCTCATTAAACCTCTTTCGTCAGTTCCTAGAGTTCCTAGAATCTCTTGGTTCTCTGGTTCCTGTCAGAAAGTAAATCTGATATATTCGTGGCATGTTAGTTTGCGATATTAAACGTGATAAGATGAGATTTCAGGAGATCTACAAAGGATTGAAATTTAACACTTGGCTCTTGTATTGCATGCTAAGTTTTCCTCAGCTGCGTCCACTCGTAGAACGAAGTGGTCGTGGAAACTCTGGATGTTGTATGAAAACTACTCTTATCAAACGAGGGTTTTGCATTTTATAAATTGATTCAATCCAATAGATGCGTTTTCGTCGATAGATCTTCTATGCTGTCTTTGACACCACGAAATTTAGTATCGAGACACGTCGATAAGTAATGAAGCTCGACAAGAAAAAACATATGGCATCCCCTTTTTTATTTTCTCAACCATTTGTTGATAAAGAATATTTTTTTAAATTTGTCCTTACATTCTTCGTCGTGAGATGTTTTCTTTATGGGGCATTCGTCGTTTTTTTGCTTTACCCTTGGAGGATGTATATCTTGAATTTCTATGATCCTATTGATTCATAATATTTTGGCGATTCCATGGAATTCTCAAATTTTTCATATTTCAGAGATTCTTTTGATTCATCAGATTGCTGGCAATCTTTAAATTCCTAGGATTTTCAGACTATCTTGCATTCCTCGAAATGCATGTATTTTTAGATGGATTTGAATTTCTTGGAATCTTCCAAATCCTAAAAACTCTCTGATATTAAACTTCCTCAGATTCTTTTAAATCTATCCGTATCTCTGATTATTTGAATATTGTGCATTGTTTGAATTTACTCAACTCTCAGGATTCGTTTAACTTCTCAGATTCCTACCACTTTTCTTATACTTTTTCTCAACATGCTCACACTTTGCTATTGACATTCTGTAACGTTTACTTATTGTCCTTATTCTTTTGTGAGAGCAATCACTGTTCTATACTGGTGAAGAAGGTGATGGATCAGGATTATACGTTGCGAAACAATCAAAATATTTTATAGATTAATTAGAATTCAATGCAGTGTACGAAAATGTTTGTTTTTGTCGATTATGCACAAGTGACTAAATTAAGTTCGAAATAAAACGGATTAGACTGCTATAATAATAATCAGAAATATATCAAATTAGTAGATTTCACTGTGCTATCTCCACTTAAGCAAAAATTTATAGCACTCAGAAAGAGAATTAAATTATTTCAGATACTAAAAGTAATATTATATATTAAGTGAAATTCATATTTCATGTCTGCTCGATTTGAGTTTTGACTTGAGATGTTGACATGTCAGTAATTACTCTGGAACGATGGCAGATATCTGGTGCTCGTCAATGAAAGATGGTTTAACTTGATCCATTAGAAATAAGAAGTATTTCATTCTATTTTTAAAATGTTCAAAGTTTACCTGAAAATGTTTTTAATTAAATCATTGATCACTTATTTTTATTTTACCCATTAAAAATAATGTACTATACTTAATCATAAAGTAGAAGAAAACCCAAATTTTATTTTGTTGCATCACGATAAATTACAGCAACACAATGTAAAGTGCCGGGTAGATAGTTAGTCATTGAAAAAACTCCAATATGAACAATCGTTTAATACTATTCTTGAAATTTAATCTATTTGATAGCTTAAATAAACGAGAAAAGAAATCAATTGATAGGAAGTCTGTCGGTTCAATGAGTATCAAATGGAAATCATTAAAGTTAGCGAAATCAGACGAACCATCTATGCAACATTTTCTGATGGTAACTTTACAACAACATTTCAAGAAATAATTATCGATCAAAAAAATTATTTCTACTTTTTTCGTTGCATTTTGTGTTCTTTCGAAGTAGATATTTGTTTTTTCTTCATTAGAAAATAGTAGTACTTCGTTCTCGTTGTTGTATTCATCTACAAGTTACTGAGTATCGTACTCACCTAAGTCCTTGTTAAAAGGGCACATTATTAGTAAAAATATTTAAATAACTTTATCAAATGTATTTATTCATTCTTTTTCATTATATTTTTATCTTCATCATGTAAGAAAAATCACGTTTAAATCTATTTAAGAACACAATGATAAAAATGACTTACAGTGAGTGTGCGCGACTAATTTTGTTCTTATCCTAACAAAAAAAAATTGATAAATATATTCTAACATATTTTCCAATAACACATATTTTTAATAATGATGTCAATTCAGTATAGGCAATTGTCGACGATAGTTTAGATATATATTCTTTATATCTGTTCGACTTCAGATATTCGAAAAATACATAAAAAAGGTTCAACATTGTTCGAAATCTAAAAAAACAATCTTCATATATGTTACTTTCACAGAACGCGCAGTAGTTAGATGAGTTTTGTAAAAGTAGAATGATTTTTTTTTATCGTATATATTTTACATGTGACTATACGTTCGATTCATAACTGAGCAACTCAATTCGAAAACTAGGCAATTCAATACATGATTCGAATTGAATTGAGTCAAATTGAAAGAAAAATTTCCTAATTCATGAGTTGAGATGAATAGAATCGAAAAAGTTTTTAAAGATCTGTGAATTCAGTTTCATTTCGCTTAAATCAAAAATCTTGAACAGATATATTCGCGTGAAAATACTTTTATGATTTTGTTTTCGTAATAATTCCGACATGTTTTTATGAGTTTGTTTTCAAAAATATCTGCTTGCTTTATTGTAGTTGCCGTGCGGAAAATTACTCAATTTCTTTTACAACATCTGAAAATTCATCAATAGAAAACCGATATTCAGCATTAGGAGGAAGTTTTCATTCCTTTCCATGTCGATCCTAATAGGTTAAACAAATCATGTGAAAATTTCGTTTGAAAATTAGAATGTCAGAACTTCATCTTTTTGATAAAGTTTATTAGAAAGTTATGATCTGATTGAACATGGAATCCGATAATTAACAAAATTTCATTATGTTCATAACTTCTAAATCAAAAATACAATTTGTTCACTTCTTCATTGTCATGTAATTTTTTTTTATTTTTCACGCTAATGAGGTGATTAATTTTCGTTCACTCTCTATTAGACAATAGTGTAGCCTCAGTCGTTTGTTCAACAAACCTAGATTATACGTACATGACATCGAATGAAATTTGATTATTATCACAAATGTAGTCAAATATTATATTTTCTCTCATAAACATAATTTTATTGAATTTGTCTGTTGATAATTGGAATGAAAATGAATTGAAATGGTTGAACATGGTAAAAAGAAAAAGATCTATTTCATTCATTTCATTTCGGATTTCAATGATGCTAAATAATTTTTTTTGACTTGTTCGTCTTATATGAAATCCTATATTCCGACTACACATTATATATTCTATACTATTATATAGATCAGATGACAGACAACGTAATTCTATCATAAATGTTAGGGAATGATCGTTCAACTAGCGGATAGGTATATATATCTACGCAAAATAAGAATTGGATTTTGACATTTACGAAAACAATCATATGTCAATAGATATTTTTATAAATATATGTCTCTCTTTAATGAGAAGAGTTGGAACTAGGTGTCGTCTCTCATTAGAATCATTGAACATCGGACTTGAAATGTCTCTATGTCACTTGTTTTTTCGATTTTGCCTGAGTATTGAGATAATGCATTGTTTTAAATTTCAATCATAAAATCATAGAGAACTTTGAAAAATGAAGTGGTGTATTTCGGCGATTTTTTTTTATCCTAGCTATATGTTAGACCAAATTGAATAGTATATTCGACATCAATATAAAAAATACGTCAAATCAGAGATATTACATTACTGATGTCAACTATGTTATTTATTTTACTTTGATATTGAACGATAATGAATGTCGATTAAGTATAATCGATTTTGGATGATAATTTACATGTTGTATTATATATATATTCTTTCTATTGTCCGTCCAACTTTATATATTGAGTAAAAAACCTCAAAATAGTTCGAAATCTGTGCAACAATTTATATATATTACTTTCACAGAACGCGCAATAGTTCGATGAATTTCTTAAACATAGAATAATTTTTATCGCATATCTGTACATGTTACTAAACGTTTGGTTTTCTTTGAATTATTCCTGAGATCTGCGTTACTTGCAATTTAATTAAATGAATTTTTAGTTATGTCAATCTTCTTATCATTTTGCAACAAATGACTTATTATAGTTGAATTTTGTTAACATAAAAACCTATATTAAATTTAAAATTCTTTTGAGTTTTTAAATTTGACATACACTCTTTGAGAGCAATATCAGACTAAGCTGTCATTTGTTATAAGATAATAACAAACCAGTCCGACAAGACTTTAGAAAAAAGCGTATTTTTCTGAACAAATTTTAATACCTCCAAAAATCGCTCGTTTTTGCTCGTTCTTTTCAAAACAATTCAACGTATATAGACGCAGAATCTTTAGTTCAATTACTTATATTTAAACAGAAACACCTGATGGGAGACTTATTATTTATAGACTGGCAAGTCAATTTTTTAACAATCATACAGAATAAGATGTTCTCAAAACTGTCCGACTACTTTTTTTTTGTTTTTACTCATGTACATGTTAATGCCCGCTGCTTCTTCTTCTATTTGTTTACTTCGTTTACATATTATTTTTCTCAAAGTCCAAAATATGATTTCTATGTTGTTTTAAATGAAGGTAAATACAAGTTTCTAAAGAATTTAATTATGCATCTATTAAAAACAAATTCTGACTATCTAATTAAGATCTACGCGTTCTAAATTACGTATAAGATCTACATATCCATATGATATCCTATGGAGAGCGTCGATTGGATTAGTATTTCTCTTCTTAGCATTTCAAAATTATAAGTCACTAGCGGAAGTACCCGGCGTTGCTCGGAAAAGTTCAGCCTTAATATATGCAACCAAAACTCCTATTGCGCTCGAGAACATGTCAGAAAACCTAATCAATACGGAGTAGACACGCATAAAGCTCTATTTTTTGTTTCAGTCCTAGTTATGGCTCTTGGACCTATTTTAAGTCCCAGCCACGGCTACTCTCGCTCTCGACTGATATGAAATACTGACATTGAAACCTTGGTCAGAAGTGAAGGATTCTTCATCTTTACACGTCTAGATCAAGGAGAACTTGATGAAACTTATGAGTTCTATCGACTTTTTATCTTGGTCAAGCATTTATAAGAGCGTATACCCATCTGGATCGGCCCCGGTCGTACTTAGTTACGTTCCTGGTTCCAGAGCTTTATAGTTATGTTTCTAGTGAAGAGCCCACATGGACAATCGATTCTTCGACAGCGTTGCAAGAAAAGTCCGTTTTGATCGAAACTAAGCACTACGACACACCTAATTGATCTAGAACGTCGTATTTTGTACGACTGAAGTCACACTGAATCCCGATTGATTGCAAAGAAAGACAGATAGAAAGGTTTTTGTGGGACAGATCCTTTAGTAATCTACGGAGTCGGTATCTATGACGTACAAATTTTCAGCGTTATAGACTATTTATTTGAAATTTTCGTCTCACACGACCTCCAGTAATCAACTTCCCCAAAAGCTGGATTTGAGTATGACATCGGTCATCCTTGATATTCGTTTTCCCAAAAACTCGGTTCCTATTGGTTTCGGGTCAACCAATCAGATTTGAAAACCTGTAGTTCCACGTTTTTCTGTGTGTTCATGAAGTGCTGGTCAATAATACTTCTATAGTACTGAATACTGCAATCTGATTGGTAAGCAACATTGATATGCTTTTTGCAGGCGAAGGAGCAATTCTTTTTGAGCAAAAAAATAGGTGTTGACCGTCTCCTGGATGAGAGGAGAATTCCTGGAAAGTTTGATTGCATTCGCTCATACGGTGTGGAAATGCATAAAGAACAGACAAACAGATAAGCATCCTTCTTCATATATAAGAAGATCAAATTCTATAGCTCCGTCTGAATTGTCCTATGATGTGAAAAGCATTCTCAAAGTTCTCCAACAGCAGGGATTAGATTTGACATTTTCCTAATAAAATGCTAATAGAATTTTCTCAGTTTAGGAGTTTTACACAGTTCTTCTTGTCTGATGTTCATGTAAATGATCATTCAACGTAAATATTCTGCATTCTTGCAATTTCGAATAAAATCCTCAGATCTCTATGTTTTTCTATCGAAAGCTTTCATAGAATTAGCATTACTCTTTCTCGGACAAATCTCCTTACAGCAATCTCCAGATGTTGTTTTTAAGATCAAAAAGATCTTGGCAAGAACTAAAAGTGACATACATGTAAGAATCATTATCAAATCCTTTTTTCTCATAAGAAACTAAGAAAAGACTTCTGAGTTTTTATCTGTGGAATGAGCATCCTCAAAGATGAATGTCGTATTTGTAGCGCTTGCTCTCACGAGAGATGGAATCCCTTCGACAATGACGAATCCTTTTCTTTTTCGTTCATTGTAGTAATTCCCAATATTCCAGAGAAGGCGTCATGGATATTGATTAGGATCGACATTTGTGCACTAGGCAGAGATGGGTAACTACACTATGTCCCGCTCGAACTCCACATAACTCCAGTCCTATTTTCTAATACTCGACATCAATTTCAACTGCAGTGTGTTCCCCTCCAACCCTACACCACTCCACTCCTTTTTCATAAAATCCTACTCCAACTCCGATTAAACTTCAATTCCAGTTGGATTTTACAAAGCTGAACTTCTGCCAAAACACTCTTAAATACACATAAGTTTTTGAACTTAATGAAATCTACGATTGATATAAATTAGTAGCATATTTATTTATTGCTTTATAAACTTTCTCATAAAATTTAAAGATAGGCACCTCCATTCTGTCCTGTTCCTACTCCATTTTCACTCTGATGGGAAAAAGCATCAACTTCAGAGTTGAAATTGCCCATCTCTGATATCAACCATTTCAAAATACTTACTCTTCAGATCCTCCTGAACATATCCATAACATGCGAGCTTACAGAAGACTTCTCAGAACAAGTACTACATAAGGATTATAGCATGATCATCATAGAAGATACTCATTATTTTTAGATTTTGAGGTTTTGGCAAAGTATCTTATTTAGTCATCAAGATTCTCTTTGAGGACCCTAATACAATGGTTTGAAGATGGTGTTCATCAAAAGTTAAAAATAGCATTTTAAAACACTTTCTGCCTATCCCATTATCATCGCCCTTTTCCAAAGCCCATAAAATCCATAGATCCCAATGTTTGTCACTGGAGGGCTCCGTTCGGATTGACATCCATCTTTTCAGCATTTGCAAAAGTAGAAGCCCTCTCAGATTACATAGATTCGCGTGGAATCCTCTCAACTTTGTTCAGTTTCGCCTGTATCCAAGCCTTCTCATGATCTTACTCAGAGTACATCACAGTTGTTCTTCGAACAGCTTCATATAACTTACCAAAAGCCTTATAAAATTTCACCGGCATTCTCTATGCAAATACTTAGGAGATTCTTCGGCAGATCTACATTCATCATACAGAAAATCATGTATCCTTAAGGTTTCCTAAAAAACATAGGGATTAGGTTTGATATTTTGTTGTTCAACGATTCAATATTCTTCTCACACGATGCAGATAGAATCCTCTCTGATGTTCATATAAATGATCATTCTGCCAAAAAGATTCTGAATTCTTGCAATTCTGAAAAAAATCCTCAGATCCTTATGTTTTTCTATCAAAAACTTACATGGAATTAGTATTACTCTTTCTTGGAAAACCTCCTTACAGCAATCTCAAGGTGTTGTTTTTAGAATCAAAAAGATCTTGGCAAGAACTAGAAGTAACATCGATGTAAGAATCGTTACCAAATCCTTTTTTTCTCATAAGAAACTAGGAAAATACTTCTAAATTTTTATCTGTGGAATGAGCATTCTCAAAGATGAATGTCATATTTGTAGCACTTACTTCCACGAGATCCCTTCGACAACGACGATTTCTTTTCTTTTTTGTTCATTGTAGTAATTTTCGATATTCCAGTCGATGCCCGTTGGGCACAGAATGGAGTGACTGTTGCTGGAGGTCATGGAGGCGGCAATGCCACCAATCAACTCTACCGCCCTTTGAGTCTCTTCGTTGATGATGATCAAATGATGGTGATCGCTGACTTGGACAATCATCGTATCATCCAATGGAAAATGGGTGATACGAATGGACAAGTAGTAGCTGGTGGTAATGGCCAAGGAAATCGATTGGATCAATTGAATAGTCCAACCGATGTGTTGATCGACAAAGAGACGGATAGTCTCATTATTTGTGACCGAGACAATCGACGTGTCGTACGATGGTCTCGTCGTAGTGGTACAACTCAAGGAGAAATCCTCATCGATAACATCCGTTGTTGGGGATTGGCTATGTATGATCAGAGATATCTCTACATCTCTGACACCGCCAACGATGAAGTAAGACGATATCAAATTGGAGACAAGAATGGAGCTATTGTGGCTGGTGGCAATGGCGAAGGTGCTGATCTCAATCAATTCAACGATCCGCGCTACATCTTTGTCGATCAACAACAGACTGTCTACGTGTCAGACCACCGCAATCATCGTGTAATGAAATGGAATAAAGGTGCAAAAGAAGGAATTGTTGTCGCTGGAGGTCAAGGCTATGGGAATGCTCTGACACAATTGTGGTATCCTTACGGGCTGTGCGTCGATATGTTAGATACCATCTATGTGGCAGATACGTGGAATGATCGAGTGATGCGTTGGCCTAAAGGAGCGAAACAGGGCACTGTCATTGTGGGTGGAAATGGTCAAGGAGCAGGAGCAAATCAGTTCAACTATCCCGTAGGTTTGTCCTTCGATCGATATGGCAATCTCTATGTCGCCGATTGGGACAATCATCGTGTTCAACGCTTTTCAATCGAATAGACTGAAACTGATTGTACCGATATATACGTCACGGCTCACTGCTCTTCCTCTTTCTTCTTCCTCTCTCTATTGTTCTCCCTGTGTCGTCTCTCTCTTCGTTTCTCTATCATATATAAGCTTGTGTTGAATTTGCAATAGGCACATTCTGGAGATGTGAACTAGCTAATAAACATCATTGCCGAGTAGCGGCTAGCTACTCCTCCAGTCTGTCATAACATCTCTCTCTTATTATTTATCGTTACACTGATGGATTATTTTTTTTTCTTTCCTTTCTCTCGAATGAATCACGTTGAATTGATGAAAGAAATGTCTATTCTATTAGCGCGTGCGCGCGATCAGGAACCATCCTGGTAGCGCTATGGCGAGCGTAATGCTCATGCACGCCACGGGACCACACTCATATCATTCATATCCCTTCCACCATTCGAAATGGATTTTAAAAAAGAATGCTATTGTATGTGAACCTGATAACCGTGTTACAGTTTTAGAATATCCTAACTTGAAAGACAGTAGCTAAATAAATAAAAAATATATTTTTTTTATTCACATTTGAAAAATTATCTTGTTTATAATTATTGAAAATGTTCAAATATAATACTCTCAGTCACGATCTTGTGAATTACTGTTTCAATTTAACATAGCAACTTCAATCTTTTATCCCTTATTAAGATTTGTCTTTAATCAAAATACTTTGTTGGTAAATTTGTATACGAGATTAGGAGTATTTTTGACTACCGCAGAGTGCATACCACGTCAGTAAGGCCAAGATTTATCGTTAATGAACTGCCAGATCGTACGGGCCAACTGGTTAACAAGAGAGGTATGTATCACGAAGTATGTATGTTCGAATCTAACCTTCATCTCTACATTTCTATCATTTGGACTAGTCCGGACGTCAACAGCGGATTCAACAAGACGGATTTAGGACGCTATATGATGGTATAGGTGACTAGTGTAAGGCGTATTGATGAAAATATTTTTCAATTTTTCGAGCATTTCAGACGGTCGTCATGATGAGTCGTCAAAACTAGTCTTTTTTTTGAAAAGGTCTCGTCCACGACTAGTCTGAAGACTTTGAAACACAAAGTTCTATATCATATTTGTGCCGATTGACTAGCGTCATGTTAATCTGCCATGACTAATCTTTTTCTCAAAAAGTCCTCCTACATGACTAGTCCTCCTATTAGCAACTCTTTAGTAGTCCTAGACGGGTCTTTTTTTTGAGAAGCAGACTAGACCTGTTAGAGACAACGACGCCCATCAATTGCATAGTCCGGACGGGCACTATGAACCACAGTCTATTTCAGACTAGTCATGTAGTAGGACTTTTTGAGAAAAAGACTAGACCTGACGTATAGTCAGGACTAGAAAAATTACTAGTCTTTTTACCCGTCCTTTGCTCGCCTAGGCATATATATAATCTGACACGATTGTAACTTAAACTGGGAGGTCTTTGGTATTGTTTTCGTTCTTTTTTTATCTGTAGCTAATGATAGATATTTTCTTCCTTACTTATAGTCACAAACTGATATTTCTCTCCATGGATGTCAGTTACAATATTATTTAGACTACAACGTTGGAGCATGTGCTATTACCTTTTCTCGTCTTATTTTTAGACCCACAATATATTTTTCTTTCCTTACCAGTATTGACAGTCTTTTTCCGTCTCACAATATTGTTTGCGTTTCAGTTAGAGTTACGACGCTGCTTGCATCTTTTACTTTTTCTTCTTTTATCTGTAGTTATAATAGATATTTTCTTTCTCACTTATAGTCGCGAACTGATATTTCTCTCGGTCTATGACGGCCGTAGTATAATTTAGATTTCAAAGCTGGAAGCATCTTGCATTGCACCTTGCTTATCTTCATATCTATAATCAAGAGAGTAAGTGCGGGTCCGGCACCTACAGCATCCCAGCGCCTATTCAGCACTCCCATGTAAAGAAATGATCAGAAAAATCAGATTTTAATCAATCTTTTTTCTGATTAGTAATCGATTAAAATGGCACGATTTTAGCCCGACTTCTTGATTTTTAATCAATCTTAATCGATTATTCGACTATTAATTGATTTTAATTGGTATAACTAAAAAACGAGTTTTTCTCTAGTTTTCACTTAGAGAATTTAATTTTTTATCATTTTTTCGGACTCCTTGCATCGATGAATGGTAAGTGTAGTACTAACCCTATTCCTAATACATTCTCATATACAGCATTAATTCATACGCGTGTAAGCTTTGTTGGGGTGTGGGTGTTAGAAGAGAGGAACACTTACACCCACACCCACACCCACACCCATACTCACACCCACACCCATACTCACACCCACACCCACACCCACACCCATACTCACACCCACACCCATACTCACACCCACACCCACACCACACCCACCCACACCCTCCCACACCTTGTCATGATAATAAATTTTTGATAAGATTTTTTTCGTTAACATGTTTGTTCGTTGTAAGTTGTACATCGCAGTTTTCAATTCCTTATTAGTTGTATTAACAACCAAAATATGCCATAAGATGTAGCGTGAAAAGCTCTACAATTTTCATAAGACCACTTATTTTCTAGTTGCACATTTTGTTCTTAAAATAGACTAAATTTTGAGCGATCAAATTTCGATCATGGAAAAAGATAATGTTTTTGATACACGACGAATTCATTTCTTGTTATCTGATCATTGGGTGTAGATATGTGAGCTCACTTTTCCAACATCCACGCGGATCCCACTTTCACACCCAACAAAGTGCGATACTTAGAATGTTCAAGTACTATTTTTATATCCATCAGAAAACAAACGCGGAACTGAAAGATCCCACAATGGCACGATGTCAATCCTAAAAATTGGATATGCTCCTCAGATTAGTTCTTTCCATATTTGTAAATACTGATTCAACTAATAACGCTTGATTATGGAAATGCAATATGAAGAAAGAAATTTTTATAGGCAGATTGATTCTTGGCTAAAAGATTCTGTCATAATAGTAATGCTAAGAAAAATGAATTCATTTATTGATTAGCTAGTGCCATGCGTGAGTTTGTTTGATAAGATTGAGCCGATTCATCCGACGGCTTCTCGATGACGATCTCTTCGACTGGTCGAGCATTTAAAACATAAATCTTGAAGAATTAATTTTAAAGTAACAAAATGCAAATGAAGAGAAAATACTGACTACCTTCAACTTTTTGTTTTGTCCAGTTTTCTGACGATATCTCAAGCATGTGATAACCCCTAGTATGAGTACAACAAGAACTAAACAGCAGCAGCCATGCACAATAAAAGGAACAGTCATCGCAGACGAAGATGACAATGGATCGTCCAACATTGTATTTTGTTGAAGGAGAATTCGAGCATCACTCGTTTCGTTGATGACCAGACTGGTCAAATGACTACCAAAATTTATCATCTTCCGAAAGTACGTCTAATGAGTAATGATGATAAAGTTGGCTTGCTTTTTTATATGCGACTCATATCTACCGTAGTTTATCAAATCTACAGATTAGTTCTTTTTCTTTCTCTTATTTTCGGTCTCAAAGCAAATATATAGTAAGCATAAACTTTGTTCCTCTTGACAAATAAGAATAAGAGTTGACGAGCAAACAGAATAATAGTGAAAGTCTCCATTAGCTTTAAGTCTGTTCGATGAGTGCCGCACAAGGACAGTGACACAGTTGCTAAATACATAGCAGATTGTTAAAATAATTTTCGTCAAATCTGTCATTAATAGCTGCAACCATCGTATATAAGACTGCATAGTAAGACTTAACACGATACTTACCTTATATTGTTGATTCACTTGAAATATTATCAGCTCTAAAACGTAATATTACTTTTCGTTTACACTTTCCAATACGTTCATCAATATTATTAGCCATACAAATTTCCATTGATTTATTCCAAATTCTATTAAATTCATCTTCACTTCTCAATAATTGAAGCAATTCAATTGTGGTCTGAACATTTTTTTTAACGCATCAGTTAAAGTTATATTTGAAAGGTTGTAAATATTTTGATATGTTTGTGATAAGATAAATTGCACTCATCATTTAAAATGTGAAAAACAAAATCAAACGTTTTTATCACTTTTAATAGAATAAACGGATCATTCCTTTCAATTTCTTCTGTAATATAATTAATATTTTCGAATATCGATTCGAAATAACTTTCAAACTTTCATATCGACAAATCCATCGAGTATCGAATGACTGTTTCAATGGTACTGATACAACACCTACTTTTTTTTGTAAATCTTCAAACATTTTATGACATTTTGTTGATGCTTCAGTTAAGTTGTACAAACATTTAACAGCGTCAGAACTATCTCGAACATGTACAACAGCTTCTGCAATATCCACTAAACATAAGTTTAATACGTGACTATTGCAATGTATATGTCCGAGGCAAAATTGAACTTTAGGCAAAATTAAACTTAGACAAAATTGATTTGTAGTTAGGCGCGAAATGAAGAAATTATTTTCTTCCATTTGAAAATAAATTCAAGTTTTCATTTTGATTAAGAAAACAGAATGCATTTAGTCTTTTAATTAAATAAACTTATTTTGTTCATTTCTCACCGATTCATTCTCGTTGGAAGTAACCCAACACCAGATTCTGCTTCGTCTCCAGTGCTTTTTGATCCACAGATTTGTAAACAAATAATAAAAATACCTCACGATAAGTATGATCGGTAACGTGAAATAAATAGCTAATAAGACTTTATAACTAGTTGCATTATTTTTACATTAATATCTTAAAATCCTACTGTGTGTGGTGAACTCTAGGATTGAGTATCGATGCCTTTTTAGCATAATGTCGTCTTGCAGAATCAAAACTGTGTCTTCTCTTCGTTAAATTCAACTAATCTAGAAATAGCCACACATGAGGGAACAAAAAAGAGAAGGTCAGAAGTTCAGGAAGATGTCATATAAGCGGGGTATGACGGCTAATGACCGTTACCTTGGATAAGAGAAACACTTATTTAGCAGATTTGTGGCAACCCATAAGCATCTTCACTACCCTTTGCTCGAAAAAAATCAGTAATGTGAATGAAATAGGTGATAAGTATTTAAATAGTTATGAGGATGTAGCAGTAGCTCTGCGAGATTGAATAGCCATTAAACACAATATCCGAAAACTAGAACTAAGCAACTACTGAAAATCTTTCCCTTCGTCGCTACTTAAAGCTATTCATATGAGAAAATTGTATCTCTTTTGAGAATGAACTATTTTTAAAAAGAGACAAACTAACATATTCACTTATTGAGTATTAATTGCCGAGTGAATACCTTTGCTATTATATTATGAGAAAACATAAATTAAAGTCTTTCGTTGGTTTGTTGAATGCGATAGAACTTGGTTAAATATAATAACGTCTTCAATATTGTTTGCATATTATCTATGAACCGTATTGTATTCGAATGGAAACAGTTAGGTATCGATGAGAATTGATGTCTGATTATAAAGAACATCCTTTCTTTCTTTCTTTTTTTTGGTCGGGCTGCTTACGATCGGCTCAATGTCAGTGGAATATATTAGCGAACTCTACATCTTCCCAAGCTTTGTTTAATTTCTATTGAATATAACTCGCGCACTCTACATCTTCCTAAACTTAGATTAGTTTGCATTTAATACAGCTTGCAAACTCTACATCTTCCTAAGCTTATTTCAATTCGCATTGAATACAACTCGCGAACTCTACATCTTCCTAAGTTTAGTTCAATTTGCATTGAATATAACTCGCGAACTCTACATCTTCCGAAGCTTAGTTAAATTTACATTGAATACAACTTGCGAACTCTACATCTTTCGAAACTTAATTAAATTTGCATTGAATACAACCTGCGAACTCTACATCTTCCCAAGCTTAGTTTAATTTCTATTAGATATACCTCGCGCACTCTACATCTTCCTGATCTTAGTTCAATTTGTATGTAATACTACTCGCGAACTCTACATCTTCCTAGACTTAGTTTAATTTGTATGGAATAGAACTTACGAACTCTATGTCCTGCCAAATTCGATAGTTACAAAAATTAAAAAGTTTCCTTTAGTTTTTTTTAAATTAGTTTAATTTTGCCTAAATCTCAATTTTGCCCGACACATATATATAAAGCTATTGATATAATTTGAATAACTCTACTACAAACACCCTTTTATCCACCTCGCATTGAACTTGCTTCATCGAAACATTGACCAACGATATTTTTAACATCCAAATAGAGTTTTTTTTAATCAATTCATTAATAAACTAAATAAACTTTCATCTGTTGTATCAGAAGCGCGTCCAAAATCCTTAAAACATTCGTAAACATTGAATTCATCATCAACGTAGCGTATAACCAATGAAACTTGTTGATGACGTGCCATATCAGTGGCTTCCATAATCATAATCGAAAAAATTGAGATCTTAATTTCATCAATGTTTTTGTTTGAAAGCTTTGAATCCACGTTGCCAATTCACCAATTCGAATTAAAATTGGACTATATACAGGATGGGCCGAAACTCATTTTACTAAGAAAGCAATCGAATATTTCTGTTACGGCTCGAGGAAACGAGCTGATTTTTTTATCAATAATAGAGATATATTTACACTCCATATACATAAAGACAAGGCTAGAGTAAACCTTTGTTAATTATCACTATTGACTTCAGAGATGCCAACAGGCCACTTTTTTCCGGCCTGACCTAGCCTACAGGCCAGGCCAAGAATCAAAGAGTGGCCTGCGCCCTGGTCTGGCCTGACCTGACCTGCAGGCCAAACGGGACCAATTGATGTTTCTGATTTTTCAAATCCATTAAATTCTCTAACTTTGTATTAATGTATGATTCCAGTTTCAAGTATTCATTTAATTTATTTTCATGAAGATAATGGGTGTGGGTGTGAGAATTGATTACTTGATTTCCACACCCACACTCACACTCACACTCAATTCCTAACCCCTAGAAATCTGATTCACTGAATTTCCTAGCCCCTCGAAATTTGATTGGTTGAATTCCTAGTCCCTTAGACCCTAATTGTTTGAGAGATAGATAGCGAAAATATCTGATCGACCATTGATGTTTTTTTGACCCTGACACAAACACACACACACATACAAACTATTTTTTTTCATCTGCCCTTCCCTACAGTCGAGGGAATGAACTCGTCGGTCTGGTAAATGACAACTGAAATTCTATTGACATCACTAGTTTACTTTTTTCTTTATAGTTGAATATTTAAGAAATCATCTGTCATCTTCAAAAGAAAAATGAAAAGGATGTCAACCAAGAATTAAAAGAGGCAAAAAAAACTGGAAATCAAAAATTAATCGAATAAAAACAGGGTGTGGGTGTGGGTGTGGATGTGCGCTGGGTGTGGTGTGCAGGTATATGGTTTTACATAATCACCGATCGACACCCACACCCATTCACACACCTACATCCTACGAAAGTCCTTTTTTTATAATGATATATTTTACCAGGACGATTTCAAAAAGCGTCAAGATGATAACGTTGGTCATTTTTTTCGAATGAAAATAGTTAAAACATTGATAAATAGACACGAGACTCTAGTAATAAAATAGATTGATTTCATAAGCTAGATCCACATGTGTGAAATAGATGTGCCTTTTTTCGTCTCCTTACTTTATTCTTTTTCCTTTAATGTTTATCAAACATTTTTTCTTTTTTTTTATATTATGTTCTACTTTATTGCTCCATTTTTTTTCAGTCTTTCTTTCATTGTTTATCTACCATATTATGCAAAGTTATGTATAGTAGCCCTTCTTCAATTATCTGAATTCGACACACTTGTATTTTAATATCTGTATACTGTAATACTAACATTTAATTTCATTCCTATGCCAGCACTTCCGAATGTAAGAATAAATAGCAATATTCAAAACAAAAAGTACAGCTTTCTTTCTCTGATTCATTATTTCCAAGCAAAACAAGATAATATGAACGACCTATATATAATACAGGAGATCGTGGTTTTTCATGCTTTTCATCGCACTTTGAGTTCAAACATGGATAGATTGCTGTTTGAGATACACTATGCCGCTTAGTTTAATCAATAACAAGGATCAGTAGTTTCTTTCTGTTTGTTCTCAAATTATAATCTGATCTAAAACGGAAGCAATCGAATTTTGCATGTAATTGCTCTACTTGTTTAGATAAAATGTGTGCTGAAAGAAATTCAGCAGCTTCGGAAGTCAGACTCATAAGTTTGAAGTACTTTTTGAAAGTACTTTTCGAGATCAAGAAGCAATACTACATTTTTACCTAAAATCTGCTGTATTATCCTAGGAAAATTGCAAATCCCTTTTTTTGTCTGGTCAACTAGTGGATCTCAGAGGTCGTGACATCAAAAATTTATGCTTTATCATTTGATTCACTTGGAGTTTTCAAGAAAGTTAAGACATCAATCTGGAAGAATATGCTAGGAAATCGAATATGCTTAATGAAAAAGCAAAGAATTCCTTCGATGCTGACAGTTTTCAAAGAATAAATTCTAACGATAATTCTTTAAAGTAAATTGTCAAAGTTTTGGTCTTCCAATATTTACTTTCCTATATGAAAAGAAAATACAACCAGTTGTTAAATTGTTGCTTTTATGAATTACTCTACCTTTTTTGGATGCAGTCTATTGCAAAAACGATTGAGCGAACCTGTACAGACTGCTTGCATAGCATTGATGTCACGCATGAGCATATCAATTTTCATTGAGATCAGTGAAATATTATGAAAGGAGCAGAAAACCTCGAGAGATGTTTGTTTGACCTGTTAGAGCAGCATAAAACTCTAACAATATGAAGATAACTAGGAAGAGAATGTAAAAAAGAAATAAAGAAATGGAGCAATTAGAGTTGCTGATATGAAACTAATTGTTTTATTCAATTTATTGTACATAAGAATGATAGGATTGACTTCTAACAATGTGAAAGATTCAAATGTTTCATTTCATTTTCTTTCTGCAAGCAAAATAAAGGAAAATGAGTAGGCATCATCTGTATTTAGATTAGATAGAATGTCTTTTCGAACTCTCTCTAATTATATGTACCTGGATAGCAAACAATTCAAGAATTAGTAATGTGCATCATCATGACTAATTAGAATGAGCATTTCGTTCCGTCATATTGTCACATGGATTATTCTTGCAATCAAATATCATTTATTTGATATAGCAGAAAGTGTAAATTATGTTTCTTTGTGACTACACTTCATTTTTGAAGTATTATCTATCGTAACCAGTCGAGATTTTATTACAACATGGATTCAAATGGCATAAGCAATGGTCTATTGATCGCTCCATATCAACTGAACATATATTTGGCACTTTTCATTTATATCACTGGTGTCATTGGCAGTATCGGCAATATAATCGTATATAACTCCAAATCAATGCGTAGTCGAGCTTGCTCTGTATATTTATTATGGGAATCTATCGTTGATCTGCTCTATCTTAATTCGGTACTCTTAACACGTATATTAATGAAAGGTTTTCGAATTTCAATCACATCACGTTACGATATTTTGTGCAGACTTCGCCAGTTTGCTTCAAACTATGGAAATCAACTTGCATTCACTTTCTTAGCATTGGCAACAATTGATCGAATTCTATTATCCCAGCGATCACCTAGTAAGTTCCAGAATAGTTAGTTTCCTTCAGATTTGATCATTTTATTTTCTTCACATTGATATAATGCACTTCAAAAGCATTGCAGGATTCGACGAGTTAGCTCGAGTTTTATCCTTCCGCTCACTTTCCTGTGAAGAAAGAGTATTTTTATGCTCTTGATATTTCGCCGAAAATATACAGCTAGAACATTACAATTCTATGATAGAATTTTTTTTCTTACTTATCGTGCTCTTGTTATGTACGCATCTTCTGATCTAAATATCGCCATTGAGCCAACAGTGTCACTCTATCTGAACTGTTTTTCTATACTAGTAAAAATGATGCGAAACATCACTTGTTTTTATAGGAAACTTTCACAAGCTCTGCAAGAGAACATCTCGATGAAAAGAATATTTTACGTACTCTTTATATCGGAAAAATGTTAACTTTTCTAAACTTTAGAAGAAATATATATTTGCTGAAGAACAGAAGAAAACTAAGTTTTCAAATTTATCTCGTGAATTGTGTCGTGAACTAATACAAAAATCAGGCATTTTCTCTTACTCTCGATAGTGAAGACTGGCTGCGACATAACAAAGTTCTTTGAGCAGATTGACCTGTTCTATGTCGATGCAAGCTGGAAGATGACTACTGTGATATTGAAGAAACGGAAACTGAGTCATTATGTAATCATCTATTGAATATGAAATGAATAGTAAATATTAAAGAGAATGAGTTGTATGTCGTTGAATCAATTCAAATCGATTCAATTAGAATACAATGTTAGACAGTTGTTGAAACCATTGACCGAAAGGTATATGCTTTTCTGTTAGACAGAAAAATCCATGTAAGGCATATCTTTTTATTGTTAAAGTATTCTACAATTGGTTTAACTTACGCTAATAGAGTGTAGCATATGTGGAGATGTTGAGATCATTGTCGGATCGCTCTTAGAAAATTCTGAAAAGCGATTTGCTTAATTCTGACTCTTTATTGATTGAATTCCGTTTGGAAAATAATGCTATTAATTCTTCACAATTTACGTTATTTGCTACTCGATGTCACTCCACTTTAAAAAAATATGTCATGGCTCTGAATCCACCAATGTCGATTCATACTGACCAATGCATATCTATGACATACAGATTTTAATAAACATACATATATAGCGAGAAAATCGGATTCAACCGATCAAATCTGCTTCACAGATGATCATATATGTCTGCATGTATTGTTTTCGAGAAGAAATTTTTCATTTCCGTAACTTTGTCAATACCAAATAAACGAAAAACAAAGCATTCTTGTTGACAATCGGAACAACACCATAAGACTATATTGCATTTTTATCAGTGTCACACCAATTAATTGATTAAATTTCAATTATAAAAATATTCAGGATATTTATCTTAGGCAATGTTTTTGGTGGTCGTGGAGTATTTTACTTGTTTTGAAGAAGCTGATGTCAATAGGGCACTGTTTCATGCCAATGTTTATCGGCTCTGATAGCATAAAAACCCATCGCTCATTGATAATGAAAACATGTGGTGCTGTTTACTAAGTAGATCGATACTTAGAAATGTTTTTTTTCAAAAGTAGTAGGACATTTCATTTTCAAAGTCCATTCACTTGTTTAGTTGTGTTAGAAATCCGTGTACCGTCTCACAAAATCAAAATTATATTTAGTTCAAATCTGGGTTGCTCATTATTAGAATAAAAATCGATCACGATATAATTTTTCATCGATTAAAACTGATTTTTAATTGATTTTCATCAAAATTATCAATCCGATTATTTTGCACTAAAATCAAAATTTTAATCGGTACTAATCAATTGGTGCTGATTGATAATAATGATTTTCATTGATAATAATTTTCATTTTGATGCAGAATAATCGGATTATCAAGAATGAGAATTGTTCTATTGATCATAAAATGCAGTTTTGATTCAGAATATGCAATTGCACATATGCATTTTATTATCTGTTCCTGATTATGTCAATTAATTAAAGATTATATTTCTGTTAGAACATTCTTGAATAGAAAAATTTGAGCAATTTGTGAAGCAATACTTAAGGCCATTTTCTAACAACTATATTTTATTAAACAAAAGAATTTTCTTTTTATCAATCGGTAAAGTTCGATTACTTGACAATGTCTATCACATATAAGAATCCATGGGAACAATTGTCGTTCTGAATACTGATTGTATTCAATAAACAATGAAAAATAAGGCATTTTTTTACATTACAATTAGTTCGAATGTTAACTAATGCATCATTTTTCTCAGTCTGCGATTTGCTGAAACATCACAAATGTGGAGAGCTAAATATACGAAAGGCATGATAACTCTTATTATTTTTTCTCTGCAAACTCTATTTTCGACTGGCTTTCATTTAATGAAAAAAATTGATTATTTACTCTATTTAAAATAATAACAATATCCATCTGGACAAGTATTACTTTTCAATCCAGTTCATATTAGAAGGGTGAATCCACAGATATCCAACCACTTTTTGGAAAAAGTTATTTTTTCAATCTTTTTTAGTCAGAAAGATGTAAGCGCTCTAGAAAACGTCGTTGGTAAAAAGAAAGACATCTTCTCTGATGAAATTCTGAAGCTTCAGGTCGTTTTCTCGGAATATGTACACCTATATTCCATGTTTTAGCTATCAGATCAATAGATACCCTACTAAATATTCAAATCAAAGTTTCTATCGTACACAGGACTCCGTACTTACAGATGTCCTTATGTGAAAAGGACGTATTAATTTCACTCGATCCTCGTTCCGTATGATTGAATTTAAATTCTGGATCTTCATTCTCCTGACATGATGTCAAAAACACGAAAGCCGTCAACATAAAAACGATGATCATATACGAGAAAGAAAATACTCAAGTTAAGCTTCTATGAGAAGATCATGAAAGTTAAAGTTGACTGCCTCATCCTACGCCGTTATATGGAGAAGCCATAGACATGGCAGGAGTTCGTTCGAAGCTTCAATAAAAAAAAATTCAATGAAAAACATAGAAGAGAAACTGATGATTGTCGACTACCTGGAATAAATGTGTGCATGTTTCGAAAAAACGACCTAGAACTTCAAGATTTCATCAGAGATGTTTCTTCTTTTTTTACTAACAACGTTTTCTAGAGCGTTTACATCTTTCTGACTAAAACAAATTGAAAATAAACTTTTTCCAAAAACATGGTTGGGTATCCATAGATTCACCCATGATTCCAGTAATCACATTTCCATACTCTATGCAAATACCAAAATACAACGCATCTTGTACACTTCATCCTAAATTATTCATTATGATTTTCACTATGAAACAGTTGAAAACTATTTAATTGACCCTATTTGAGGTAGTGAAGACTAATTTACTATTAGTTGAAAATCAACGACGAATAATTTTAAAAATGTTTTTACACAGTAATCGTAGCAATAGTACTTCTAAAACTCAGTGACGACATACCACTAGCATTTATTGATAGCGTTACCCTCATAGTTCGATGTGCTCTATTAATGAGCTGCATTAGCTTATCGAGTTATTTTCAATCTGTATAAGAAACATTTGATCATATTGAGCGATGACTGCACCGAACAAAGCACAATCATTATTGCTCTCTATATTAATATGGATATTTCCTATAATAAGTCAAATCGAAGATATTCTATTAATATATAATATACATAAATGAATAATCGAAACTAATAATAAATTATTATTCGCTTTCTGAATATTGTAAATTATATGTAATAACCTAAAACAGAAATATATCAAATTTTTGTCACTGGCACATTGACAAAAGTATTTTTAATATGAAATTATTGTTAAATTTATTATTTTTATTCATTCATCATAGAAAGAAAAAGAATTGGATAATAGTAAAATTAGTAAAATATGGATTCGAAATTTGATTCGTTTAGAATTTGTATGTGAAGTGAGCATCATTCTTTATGATTACATGTTTAGTTCACTTTATATGACCTATTTTTATTCCATTGGGTTATATTTTCTTTTCGATGATCTTGTAAAAGAAGAGAGTGAAACGTCGAAAAATACAATGAATGTTTCATGAACGATCGTCTCTTTCGTTCTTTCGTTCTCTATTTTTATCTTAACTACGTGTAATAGAAAAAAAAAAGAATATTTAAATAATCTATTTATTCGATCGTCATTTACACTGTTAAACATCACTTCGATCATTATTGATTCATTCAGCTAAAACATAACTTCAATTGTTATTGATTCAGCTAAAACACTACTTCAATTGTTATTGATTCGGCTAAAACATTACTTCGATACAATATGCCTACAGAAACGAACACAGTAAGTTGACGATGTGTCCAATAAAAACATACATATGGAGGAAAAATAATCTGTTCGTTAGTAACCTTTGAATGAACCCATAACCTCGTTATGCTGCTTTTCTTTACAGACAGTCATTCTATTCAGCATATACTCACTTCAATATTGACAAAGCATTACAAAAATGTGTAGAGAGATGAGTAATGGAGATGTAGAAAATACAGAAGAAGTATACGTAAATTTTTAACCATTTCTTTTTTTAATAGAAAAATTTTTATTTTTATTTTTATTAATTTAGGAAGTTGCAGCAAGTTCAATTACGTACAAAATTAATCGTGAATCATTAATAAGCTTAATTAAATGTGCAATTGGTGATACATCACGTGAATCATTAATAAATCCAATGGTTGCTGTTAAAATAATTGGATAGGTTTTTTTGTTGAAACATCAACAACCGGTGTCTATGGAAGTAACTAATCAAAACATGTTTTCTATTTTTCATCAGTTTTTTTATCATAGGTTGCCAATGCATCAGTTCGTGAATGGTATAAAGCAACCATTACTAATCAGCCAATTATACCTTTTAACCACAGAACAAAAAGCATCGATGAAATTATTGGGCTATTAGAACAGGTGTGTATTATTTTTCTTGTTCATAAAATTTTTCACTACTATTATGTATTTCAGCATTATGATTTAAAATCAATAATGATGGATTAACAAATAGTCAACAAAAAGCACACAAGACAATTGTACTATTTTATTTGTACTTTTTTTTTTGTGTGTAAGATAAATAAAAGAATAAAACATCAGCTAATAATATGCTGTTTCTTCTTTAAGGTCATAGTTGACTAATGTACCGACGTTTTTTACTGTGAAACACACGAATTTTTAAGATTTTATTATTATTATTATTATAAAATACATATTAAAATTGAACGTTGCACTTTCAACTTGCAACATTCAATGGAGAGCGTTACTTTTTTTTTCATACATATGTCTACTCGTAACTAAAGGAAATCTTTTTAGACATGTCTAGATGAATTCAGAGGACATTTCGCTGATAAAGATCGAAAAGTCAATTAAGTTCATGTTCGAAGTGAGTCTTAACTTTATGTCCTATTTCTTCAGATACCTTTATTCATGGGACAAAAATTGTATGATGTATTCGTCCACAACGATACTAGCTTCTCATGCCATATGAAATTTCATGCAAGAATTTCAATTTGTATTTTCAATACTTTTTTATTGTTCTTATCAGATAGCGTGAATATTGATTAGAATGAGATTGTGTATGAATCGATGTCCATATTACTGTCAAGATCATTCATTACTAATCAAAGAATATGAAATTCGACAATCGAGATTAACGAAAAAAATCAACATAGATCAGAATTATTTAATAAATATCTGAAAATTGTCATTGGTTTCTTAATTCAAGTCCTAATTTTTTTTAATAAGTTTCATAATAAATAGAGAAGTGTATGGGTGTAGGACGTGGATGTGGGTGTAGATGAAGAGAAGACCAATACCTACATCCCACATCCACACCCTAATCTAAATAGAAAAGCAAAGTCTTTCAAGTACTGAAAAAATTTCAAAAAACTGCGGAAATATCTCGAAAACCGTGATAGTGGTCCACAAATCTCCTATGGCTAGTTTATCAGAACCTGGCCTTTTTTCGATAAAACTATATATTCTGAAAGAGGAGACCTCGAGGCATCTTTTTACGCTAAAAACTCAATTTCGGTTTTTTCGAAAGAATGGGTTTTCTAAAGGAGAACTTTAAAAACAAAATCATTTCAATAAAGTTATTCCATTGATATCAAGTTCATCATTGATTTCGTTCTCAATTGTATACCAACAACATTTAATCCAATCTATGTTTTTCGTCGTTGATTTCAATTGTTAACTATAATAATAAAAAATGCGAGTGACTGTTTTTGACGATCTTCAAATGAATTTCATCTAGAGCACTTTCTGTCACTGTAACATAAATCCAACAAACAGATGATAGGATCAATTCTTCTTCTTGTTGTTTCTCCTTTTCAATTCGCAACCTAATTGAGTTATCTATGAAATAGTTATTTTTAGTTTATTCAATCTTAAATTGAAGATACAATGTAGAAATAATAGAAAATATTTGGACGAATATTGATGTTCAAGGTCGATGAGGTATCAGTGTTATCATCGAATTTTTGGATGTATAAATGAAAGGATGATCTTGTGTAGGACATTCAAATGGTTCATCCTTATGCCATGAAGTTTTTTTTCTCCCAACTGGTTCGAACATATTATTCCAAAGTGATAATGCTGCGACTGAATGACCTTTACCTAAAATATAATAAAATAAAATCGAATGTATTAGAAAAAAAATGAAATTTACCGCTAAAATGGAAACAGTCAGGAGCAAAGTAACTAAAATCAATTTGATCGTCTTTTCGAGGAGGTACAGTTTCACTGAAAAATGGTTGAACAACAACAGTGAAATCATCACGATTATCATAGCGACCTGTATTGACTAAATCGATGAGGCCTTGTTGATAGCGTGGTGTCCATTCAGTTAAGATTTTTGCTTGTTCTTCCGTCGGATATGCTGCACATGGACATGTAAATTTATAGAGAAGTCCACAAATAAAATTGCTCTGTGCAAGTTCTTTTGCAGGGCGAATATCAGGTACCAGTACAAGATTGACCAATGTACGAGGTAGATTGGCATTATATAATCGATCGAGTGTATCACGCACCCAACTGACAAACTTTGCTGGATCATGTTTGATCAAATCAGTACAAAAATCGCACAAATCATTTCCCTAAAATGTTTCAATAGTCAAAATATAAACGAAGAAAAACGCAAATATACTCCGATGAAAAATGTAATAAGCTTCCAATCATTATTCCAATCGCATAATTCCTTATTCTTCAATCGATCTAAGAGAAGATCAGCTTGATCAACCATATGATATGAACGAGCACCCGATTTTGCTGAAAGAAAAATAATTTAGATCAATTGAGATAATCATAATGAGAAAAAAAAATGAATGCTGACCGACATTGAGTCCATTGTGTTTTGCATTTTGACCATTAAGAAATGATATTGAAGTTTTCGTTGAAAAACCTTTTAATTTTGAATTATACAGACGAAGAATATTGGGTAATGTCAAAATTTTCTGATAGGTATAATCACCACCGATCGACCAGACAACACCTTAGATACCAACAATCAAATGAAAAATTTCAACTCAAGCGAGAAAAAAACCGGAATTTACCTCGATTCTCCAAAAGAACGCCAATGGGAGTAATAGCTTTAGCACCCATACCCGCTGTCAAACTATCGCCTAGAGCTGCAACACATTGGATATCACCCGGTCGTAGAGCATGAACCGATGTCGGAACTTCCGAACTTCGCATTTCCTTTGTTGAACAAGGAAAAGGTTGAGGAGACCAATCATACAAATAATGTGGTTGAGAAAACACTTCCAACGACCATTTGGTATATTCTTCCACAAAATCTTCATTAAGAGTTAAGTATTCTACAGCCGAAAGATATTCAGTTAGATTTAATCCAACAATATTGCCTAACAATATGACAAATATTAATAATCTAATGATAAAAGCTCGTGCCATTGTCGTTAAAGTTTCGATACGTTCCTAGAGACCGACACAAAAACATCGTTGCCTTTTTAAAAAACAACAATTTATAAGATAAAAATAATTCTCATCGGATATTTTCTTTTTCTCTGTCTATCATTGACAATCGACTATGAACCAAAATCGTGCATTCAATATTAACTCAAATAGGCATTTTTGAATTGTCTAATCTATCATCGTTTTCTTCTCAAACCGACTCAACTTTTTTCAACTGTATTATTCATTGTCATTCTTTGAGAAAGTTAACTCAACCATTCACTATTATTGTGATGATAGATGACTGTAGGCATTGATTAGGGGAATCCAACAAATTGAGGAAAATACGGATACCATTATAGAGACATACCGAATCCTAAAATGAGAATAACATTATTGGTTAGAAAAATCAGAATAAATCTTCTTATATTAAATTCTGATTTGAAAATATGTTGAAACTCATGAATAAAATTTCAATTGAAAGATTGATGTGACAACTTGAATTGATTATTAAATATATTAACGAAATGAAATGACTTAACCGATGTAACAAGTCAAATACTTACATTTACTATAATTTCACCTCAAATTTGAGAAGAGTGCAAGAAAAAAACAAGCAATAACAGAGAATTGTACTTTCTACACATGTATTGTGCATTTATTGCGACGTTCTTCTACTAAATCCATTCACCATTACATGATTTCCTGTGTCTCTCTAATGGTATGTCCATATTTTCTCTTAATTCATTGGATTTCTTTAAACGGTGCCTACAGACGATAAGGGCGCGCCATCTATCATTACAATAATAATGAGTGGCTGTATTAAATGTTTACAGAGATTTTCATCATTATTATGACAATATGCTTCTGCAAAGCATGTCTATTTTCTTATATAATGCATCAATGTTTTTGTTTGAAAGCTTTGAATCCACGTTGCCAATTCACCAATTCGAATTAAAATTGGACTATATACAGGATGGGCGGAAACTCATTTTACTAAGAAACCAATTGAATATTTCTGTTACGGCTCGAGGAAACGAGCTGATTTTTTTATCAATAATAGAGATATATTTACACTCCATATACATAAAGACAAGGCTAGGGTGAGTCTTTGTTAATTATCACTATTGACTTCAGAGATGCCAACAGGCCACTTTTTTCCGGCCTGACCTGCAGGCCAAACGGGACCAATTGATGTTTCTGATTTTTCAAATCCATTAAATTCTCTAACTTTGTATTAATGTATGATTCCAATTTTAAGTATTCATTTAATTTATTTTCATGAAGATAATGGGTGTGGGTGTGAGAATTGATTACTTGATTTCCACACCCACACCCACACTCACACTCAATTCCTAACTCCTAGAAATCTGATTCACTGAATTTCCTAGCCCGTCGAAATTTGTTTGGTTGAATTCCTAGTCCCTTAGACCCTAATTGTTTGAGAGATAGATAGCGAAAATATCTGATCGACCATTGATGTTTTTTTGACCCTGACACAAACACACACACACATACAAACTATTTTTTTCCATCTGACCCTCCCTACAGTCGAGGGAATGAACTCGTCGGTCTGGTAAATGACAACTGAAATTCTATTGACATCACTAGTTTACTTTTTTCTTTATAGTTGAATATTTAAGAAATCATCTGTCATCTTCAAAAGAAAAATGAAAAGGATGTCAACTAAGAATTAAAAGAGGCAAAAAAAAAACTGGAAATCAAAAATTAATTGAATAAAAACAACTTCAATATAAAAACGAAACCAAAAAGAATCGTACTGCTGCTAAAGCTGTAAATGATGGAGTGGAAAGAGAGTATCATTGGAGAAAACAAAACGGTAATTTCTCGTTTTATATAAGACATTTCAATCTGTATTTACTTTCTATGTGAAGAGTTTCAATGTCCAAGTAATGAACCATCTGTTGATGAAGATGGAGATGGAGATGGAGATGAAAATAAAGATAAAGATCTTGGGTGTGGGTGAGGGTGAGCATGAAGGTGTATATGCATAGTAAAGCGAGATCCAAACACACTCCTACCAAAACTCATACCTATACCCACTCACCTACACCGACACCTACACACAGGTGAAGCTGCTTCGAAGATCCTCAAAGAAATTCTAATAAAGTCCCCTTCGCACTTCAGAAAGCTATCTCGACTTCATCGTCTTTTCTTTTCTTTCTTGTACACTCTGTCATTTAAATTCTAGCATGTTTTAAAGTAACATTCACAAAAAAAAACACGAAAATAAACACAAAAAAAAAATTTGGAAATGAAACTATACGGAATATATCGTCAAACGCGCAACAGAAGTAACACTCATTTCTTGGCTTGTGCCAATCGATAATAGAGTCCTTTTGTTGCTAATAAATCATCATGTATGCCTTGCTCAACGATACGACCTCGGTGAAGTACACAAATTACATCGGAATTTTGAATTGTTGATAGACGATGAGCAATTACAATTGTCGTCCGTCCTTTCGATGCTCGGTCAAGTGCATCCTGTACAATTCGTTCACTTTCAGTGTCAAGAGCGCTCTATAATATCAAAAATGCAAATAAATCTTTTCCGAATCAAAAACTCACTGTTGCCTCGTCAAGAAGCAAAATGGACGGATTTCGAATAAGTGCTCGTGCAATAGCTGAACATAGTAACGGACAACATTTTCCTTTTTGAGAAATAAGAAAAGAAGGATTTTTCTTTTACCGATTCGCTGTTTTTCACCACCGGAAAGTTGTGTTCCTTTAGCTCCCACATTTGTCTCATATTGTTCTGGTAAGGTTTCAATGAATCGATGAATATTTGCATTTTTAGCTGCTTCACAAATTTCAGCCATTGTCACATATCGAGATGTATCACCATAGGCAATATTTTCACGAATCGATGCATCGAATAAAATAGGCTCTTGACTGACAAAACCAATTTTACTTCTCCACCATTGAAGATTAAGCGATGAAACATCATGATGATCGATCAACTGAAAAAGCAAATTATATATATATGGGTGATTCCACTGTATAAGTGGCACATTTACATCGAATTCTTCAAAGTCGGTTTTCATGTTTGAAATCATGTGGAGCATAGTCGATAAATTCTAATGTTGAAGAGATTAGCAATTCATAAGATTAATGCGAAAAATAGCTAATACTATAGAAAAACACTGTAAACAAAGCTAAAATGTCCATCATTATATATCGTTAACGTAAAATTTAAGCACATAGTGACATAGCAGATTTGGTAGAACAAAATTTGCCCTGCACGTCCATATAAAACGCTTTTCATGGAGGTACCAAAGAGGAACTATTTCTACACGAAAATTTTTATCATGTAATACTATATATATAAGTATATTTGGATTAATTATAATAATAGTTTCATGGTGCAATAGCTTCTGTTTGGTACTTCCATGAAGAGTGTTATATATGAGTGTGCAAAGCAAATTTTTTGCTCCACCAAATCTGCTATGTCACTATGTGCTCAAATTCCGCGTTAATGATGTATGATGATGGATATTTTAGCTTTGTTTACAGTGTTTTTTCTATAGTATTAGCTATTTTTCGCATTAATCTTATGAATTGCTAATCTCTTCAACATTAGAATTTATCGACTATGCTCTACATGATTTCAAACATGAAAATCGATTTTGAAGAATTCGATGTAAATGTGCCACCTATATAGTAAGAAGAGACTCACCAATTGACCACTTGTCGGATTGTAAAAGCGTTCGATGAGTTGAATTGTTGTGCTCTTACCACATCCGGATGCACCAACAAGCGCCACTTGTTGATCTAGATTAGCAAGAGAGAGAAAAAGATGTGTGCGTGACAGGAACTAATAACGACTTACGAGGTTTGATATTCAAATTGAATCGTTTGAGTACTGGTACTTCGGGTCGATTTGGGTAGCGAAACTGAAGATCAACAAAATTGATTTCACCTTTAAAATTTTCCTAGAAACGAATCAAAACAAAATGTAAGACGACATTTGTTAGAGGCTTATGGCTCATACGAATGTGTCGCCATCAGTCGCTCCATTATCAATTTCAGGAGTACGCTCGAAAAGAGCCAAAATATGTTTTGATGCATCCTATATAATTCGATTCAATGATAATATTTTTCTTATAAAAAAGACCATTAACATACAATAGCTTTCGAATAATCGGGTGATAACGAAGCTGTTTGACCAACCTTTTTTAAACAAGAAAACACGTATAAAGTTAATCACATTATTTCTAATATAGACTCACAGCCATCGCGCCAAAGAGAAGACAATTGAGAACTCTAAAACAACAGCATTCTCATTCTTTTTTCGTTCAGTAGATAGATTACTTACAGCATAACGTTTTCGAAACTAGATTAAAAAGCGATACAAGCTAAGACATGAGAAATTCAATAGAGAATTTTGAAAAAAAGACTCACGTCATCGAACCCCGATCGACCATCCATCCACCAAATGTGAAGAGAGCCGCCTGTGCAAAGAACATGATCTAAAGAGATAAACAAACAGCAAAGTTAGTTGTCAGAAAATGCAAATTATCGCGTACCGAATTTGTAAAACTGAAGAGAATGGCAAAGACGTGTGCGCGTCTTAAACTATTTCTGAAAGAAAACCAAAATGTTATATTGCACTATTTACTTGTTACAAAAAAAACATGATCACACTTACCGCAACGGAATATCGAGTAATTTGCAATATTCATCGCCAAAATATGGTTCTTTAACCAACTGAGCAACAGTACGAATATTCGATATTGCTTCGACTGCGATCTGTAGCTCAGTTAGGAATTAAAATATATTGTAAGCTTTATTTCTTCTTTACCTTTCCAGCTTCTTCCAATGCCTTCTTATCCTAAGAGAAATTATGAAGAGAAAAGAAATTATGAAAGTTTTCAAGCAGTATTTCGACGTACTTTATTGGCAAATCCGGTGAGAAGATAAGTTTGTAAAAAGCCAGCAGCAATCATGAATGGCACAAAGGCTAACACGATGAGAGTCAATGCCCAGCCATAGAAAAATGCCAAAATGATTCCCACGCCGAGATTGGAAAAATTCTGTAGCATAGTTCCAATCCGAATGCCGGTAGCCTAAAAACAAATTGATAGTTTGTCAGCTTAGAAATAAAAATATCAAATCGAGCTCTAATTTTGAAATACTCACTCCTTGTACAGCCGATGCTTCCGTAGACAATCGAGTACATAGAGCACCTGTACTATTTTCTAGTTGGTCAAAATAGGCAATTTCTTGTCGTAATAACAATCGAAATATTTTTGCTCGAAGCCGTTGTGTGAGCGCTTCACCAGAGATGGTGAAGAAAAAGGTCTAAGAATAAATAATTAAATAATTAAATGGATTCACTTCAAGAAAAGACGATCACAGAGCTCCACGGGAATACAAACAAAAGATCTTGCACGCCGCGTTCTCATGGACAATTTTCAAAGAAATTGTATTTGATCATTTTTGTTTCGTAAAAATAGATTATTATGATCAGTTTCAATTTGTTCGAGAAAAATGTGGTTATATACATCACAGCTTTTAGAAATCGAGACAAAAAGAGCAAGTAACATGTTGAATAGGGTTGGCATATTTATGTTTTCAGGAAACAGAAGCTTACATCAAAAGTTATTTCTAATATTTTAAAATATGATTAGAAGTTATTATTGCTATAGTTAAGTTTAGACGACAAAGTTAGGGAATGTTTCAGAATTTCCGAAAACCAGAAACCCGATGTGTTCCTAGCTTCTGGAAACAGAAACTCGAAACAACTACTCTACTTCTGAACTCGTGTATGATGGACCTCGTTTCGATCAATATCAATTGAATATCTCTAGCTACTTTAGATAAAATAAGATGTTTGATTCAATGTATCTTTAACAGAATAAATGACTCGTAGGCCTGCAATTTACGCTCGTTACATCATTGCTAATCTTCAATTTAGAAGGAAATTCTAGCAACAAGAATTTGTTACGTGTGTTAGCGGGCACACAGAACGTTACACTCTACTCCATATCGACTCACCTGTAGGAACATGGTGATCAACATGAGACCCCCGAGACCAACGAATATAATGACATAGAAATTAACGCGTTTTTCTTGAGCATGTAAATCGCATTCTTGGAACACCTTAAATTTGAAAGAACCATCTTTCAAGAAGAACATGATGTTCAAATAGAGAACTTACAGCGATGACTTTGCTTAGGATCACACCGAATGCTGGTTGAACACCTTTTATAATAGAGAAACCAAAGACGATGTAGTAATAAAAAAGAAAAAGAACGAACCTCCATTACAAATACACGCTATGCAACCAAAAATAATGTAGCACAATTCTGGTTTATTCATTTTGAGCATTGTGAAAAATGGAGAGCGGCCAGAACCCTAAACAACAAAAAAGAAACAGTATAGATTATTCTCTCTCTCATCTATATAATTTTATATTGTGATATGTGGGCTAACTGATGCGTGCAAGTTAAAGGATTTCAGGACTTTAGAAAAATGTACGCACCTGAAAGCAAACAAACAAAAAAAGTTCCATAATATTAACACATAAAAATAGGACAATTACTCGTCATTCATTGAATACTACCACTGTAGAGAAAAATTGCCAGCAACAAACATTTGAAGATTTTGGTTTTTTATCTCGAAATTAACTCTTTATTGCCTATGGTTAAATTTAAAGGTATAAAATCAAGATTCTCTCAAGAACATTAGTAAAAAACACAGAAAAAGTTTGATTAAAATCTTTTAAGTACCCATATATTCAAACCACAGGGCCATCGCTAGGAAGGACGACTGTGACCCTTATACCTTTCAATCTTCGAAATCCTATCGTTTTTCTCCAGTAAAGTTAGAAAGAACATCCGCTTCCTCTTCCAAAAATTTTGATCCGTCTGCCTCTAATATAAATCACTCTCTAGATCCTAACTCTTTCGGGACACCCCAGAGTGTATTAATCTGAATAACAAAAAAATTTTTATGAGAAAGGTTGAATTATTGATTTAAAACAACGAAATCTTTAATACAATGGTAAACATAGATACTATCAAATAAAAAAAGGTTAAGGGAGAAAACAAGAACACGTACTTTGACATTTTTATCATCTTGAGCTGTTGTTTGACCATTTTGTCTCTCTTCGAATGTTGTCTCAGCTGGATTACGAACATCATCACCCAACGATGCTGTTCGACTGTCTTTTTTATCATCTGAATAAATGAATGTATTCCGAGGATAAAACGGTTTTTTTTCCTTATAAACATACCCGTAAGATCATCTTCGTTTTCATCCTCAAGTTCTGTCTCATCGCTCATATTCGTGCGCAAATTCTGCGATTCGACAAGACCATAATAGTTGCCTTTCAAATTCATTAACGATTGATGGTTTCCTTTAGAATACATACAATTCTTGCTCAATAAATAACGAATATTGTCTTTCAAACCTTCTTCGATCACTGTTCCCTTGTCGATAACGATAATTTTCGACGCATGTACAATTGTCGACAATCGATGTGCGATCACAATCGTTGTACGACCTTAATACTCTTTGGATCTTCTTATATTATCAATACAGTTTCAATTACCTTTCGAAGCACGATTAAGAGCATCTTGCACTATAGATTCACTTTCTGTGTCCAAAGCACTCTAAAGAATGACAATTATAAAGAGCTGTGTTCATACAACACATGCAGATCTCACCGTTGCTTCGTCCAATAAAAGAATTCGAGGATCTCGAATAAGTGCACGGGCAATGGCTGTCGTAGAGAATCAAAGCAATGAGAACATCTATCTACGTGCTAGTTTACCTATTCGTTGTTTTTGACCCTAAAATACACAGATACTTTTTTGTGTAAAAATGAAATTCAGTACTCACTCCACTCATTTGAGCACCTCGTTCGCCAACCAGTGTATCATATTTCTGAGGTAGTGTCATTATGAAATCATGAGCATTGGCTATACGAGCAGCATCTTCAATTTCTTGTTGTGTTGCTTCCAGTCGTCCTAATCGAATATTTTCGGCGATGGTTGTTTGAAAAAGAATTGGTTCTTGAGATACAACTCCAATGTGTTGTCGAAGCCAACCGAGATGGTATTCGTTGACTCTATGGCCACCGATCATCACTGATCCACTTACCGGATCATAGAATCGCTGCAGAAGTTGCATGCATGTGCTCTAGAGAAGAAAAAGAGAGAATCGTTTTGCGTTTACGATCAATAGTCAGGAATTGACCTTGCCGCAACCAGATGTGCCAACCAGCGCTATTGTTTCACCTTGCTGAGCACTGAACGATAGTCCATTATGTACAGGCACGTCGGGTCGAGACGGATAGACAAAGTTAACATTTGTGAATTGGACATCGCCAATCAAGTCATCGGCTTTGATTCCACTTTCAGAATCGCTTACAATTTTTGATGGCTACATATAAAAGTATGCGAAAATAGCAGAACTAACTCTCACACTCTCTCTTACAGTATCGATAATGAGCCAGAGTGTATAGGCTGCACCACGAGCTTGTGCCAATGCTTGCAGATGAGGAACCGCTTGACCGAGACTGAACACAGCGGTGATGATCGAAAAGAATACCTGAGAGAAGATTTCCACTACGATCATAATGATGATCAATCAAGAACAACTCACAGTGAGAACGGTTCCAATCGAATATCCTTTCTCACGGACAAGGTTCGCTCCATACCAAAAACCCTATACAATAAATTCGAGCCTCGGATAGAAATACAGAGAAAGAAGAAGTCACACGTACGAGAGCATAGGCACAAAAGATGATAAGAAACAGAAAGCCCAAAAATGCGCCAGTGATGGCTCCCTTACGAATGCCATTCATTTTGACCGTTCTCAAATGTCGTTCGTATCTATGTAAGATACGAATAAATACATAACAAGGCGTATCCATTGCTGAAAGAAATTTCCGCAAACCTCTCAGATTCATAGTTCGCTCCATTGTATGAAAAAACTGTTCGTATACTGCTAAAAACTTCTTCAGCAACGGCTCCAGCTTTTGCATAAGATTTCAGTTCCTCCGAAGTCGCTTTCGCTATGATCTATGATGATAAAACATTGCAAATAAATTGCTATCATACTGCAAGAATGATGTCTTCTTGACTCACTTGAACGAGGATTACAGCACCGCCAAAGAGAATAGGACTGACAGAAAGAACAACCAATGTCAATTTCCAACCTTTGATAAATCTGAACAACGAGAAAAAGTTTAGCATTGCTAGCTGAATATATTTCGAACAGCACACGCGTGCAGTGCCTACCCGAGAGCCATACCACCAATGAAAGTAGCAAAAAATTGAAGTGCCGAGCTGATTTTGTCACCTATTCCATCGTGAACTTTGTTGATATCTTCGGTCAGTCGTGTATTAAGCTCGCCAGTTTTGTTTATATCAAAATATGAAATTTCTTTGTTGAGAATTGATCGAAAGAGAATCTCGCGAAGACGACGCGTTTGTCGTTCACAAGCTATTGACCAAAAGGCAACTTGAAAGTAGCCAATAAGCATGGTTGCACCACCAATGACTAGAAATGGATGAGATAGATGTAGAGGATGAGAGAGAACTTACTAACGAGCCACAAGGCCTGTTCGCGGATTTTTGTTGTAAATTGGTTTTCCGGTATAGTGAAGTTGCTTCCGGAAAAGTTACACTTTCTGAATGATGTAATAGATCAATAAGAGTAAGAAAATAGAGAAATCTCACTTGTATTCCTCCAGAAAATTCTGAGCAGTAAGTTCAACGCCCGGTGGACAGAATTGATCGAGTTCGGTAAAGTTAAATTTGCACAGGTCGAATGATCGATCGGTGAATACATCGGTCATATTGCCAAACATGAGCAACACTATGAAACGCTCAATTGTATATCAGGCATAGATGAGACAGCCAAGAAAATTTGCTCGGTAAGAAAATATCAAAAAATTCAGCAAATTATTGAGGATCTTCTATAGAAAAACTCGCGGGTTTATTGTTCTTGATCAGATACGGACAGTACTTGGATTTTCACCTCCAATATTTTTCTGCAAAAAACACTGACTCTAACTAGATATGTAAGCCGATGCAGCGATCGATGGCGCCTACTGAAGAGTTCCTTAACTTCTTGGCTCTCGATGGCGGCGGCTAGAGATGTCTGAAATTTTCTCGGTTTCGAAAATTTTATGCTTGAAAAAGCGGGAAAAGATTTCAGGCATTGCTGTAGACACGGGATGAGTAATTGAGCAATTTCCCACTAATCCAAAATTTATTGTCCACTGACTTTTTTGAGATGATGGCAATTGCCCAATGTCGAAAAATCTTGATACCCGTGCAACAGTACAAAGAAAATGAGCAAGCTTGCCTATTAATTGAGGGTGACAAGCTTCTCTTCAATAAACATTGACTTTTATATTCGAAATAAGTTTTTTTTTAAATTGTGGCCTAACAGATTTTTAAATGTCCATTGCTGCCCACTTCTCAAAAATCCCTGGCTACGCCACTGATTCCAGATATGTATTTTTGGACTGCAGCAAGTTATACCTCTGATTATAACAATACAGAGCTCTACTCATAGTTACATTAAAATGTTGATGAGACTCGAGCATATTCCTAGGTTTTCATCGACATCTGGTAAAACTAGTAATTCACGAATTTCGTACGATAGAAGAATATAGTAGCAAAAGTATAGATACGGCTCGTCTCTTTTCTAGAAGTTATTAAAAGTGATTCAGAGTAGAACTTTGAAAACTAGCAATTTTACAAATACTCTTGCGTAATTGCTCCACATTTTAAAGTATGTCCAGAGAAGAGCAGAGATATTACTAGTGAAACAAATATAAAAAACTTTTCTTCGTGAGCTACCAGAGTGTCCAGTATTGCATCAATTTCTGTTGCGTACGGAATTGGTATAGTGGAACTTACTTAAAGGAAATGCGGCACCGTTACCAAGAGCTGAATGAAATAGAAACAGAAAAAGAAATGATGAATATTTCAAATAAAATTAAAATATTACCCGCAATTGTGCCAATCAACATGTAGAAAACGTCGATTGCCTTCGCGAACCGAAACTGCAAAGAAAGAGATAATATTGAGCATTTCCAAAGAACAGAAATCAAAACATGTAATCATTACTATACTAGTGAAGCCGATGCTCTTAGGTTTATCTTTTTTCTTGTTATCTTCAATGCTGTTATCTAGCAAGACATTTTTCATGTCAACACTAAAAAACACGATGTCTAATTATCAAGAGATACAGATATGTACTCACTCAATGGACGACGAATCAGTAGTCGTTACGGCAGTTCCTTCTATTGCCGTGTTGTTATTCGTTCCATTCATGGTATTTGCATCTGCATTCGCATTGTAATTAGTGACCTCGCGAAACTCGTCACTATTAGGATGCACTTGCTGATGATTTACGTCAAACGAGTTTTCCGTACTCATCTCAGAGTTCGATCTACAATAGATTTCAAATCATGTTCATGGCAGCACAAAGAGAGAGTTTTAAAATAACACAAAGTGATGCTTCTACAAGTTATACACTAATTGTGATGAGTGATATGCGGGATAACAACTGAATGTTAGCCAGCGACATGTGAGATGTGTAGAAATAATTGCAAAGTCTGTCTCAATAAGTAATCAAGAGAAAGATGCAGGACAAATGTTTTTTATCGCCACGTCTCCACACACGACTTAAATAGATCTGTTTCTCTTTCTCTCGTTTTTATTATCTTATCAAACCCTCATCGAGAATATATCGCATTTTCTCTGCTAGATCTTCTTTCTCTTGCCATCCAAAGGTTAAAAAATATGATGAAATTCGCCACATGTCATGATTCAAAAACGAAGTTGAGAAAATCTCCATATTTAGTTGGGGAAGACATTTCATCAGATTGATGACTCTTACAAAATCTCTCTCTCTCTCTTTCTCCTTATATTGCTATATGCAAGTTGTATTGTCAATATGACTATCGCAAGTCGTCGCTGCTTGCCATTGTGACTCCTATAGAAAGTCCCTCTGTTATCATATTCGATAGAAAATGACGAATACATGTGGTGTAACAACTACAACAGAGGTTGAGGCAGCGAGAATGCACTATTCGCAGGTGTCTGACCTGATCAAAATAGTCGTATACTTGTAGAACTAAAAGGAAAGTTAATGATGGGTATGAGGTGTGGGT